ACTCAAATTATAAAAGCCATATATGACAAACCCACAGCCAACATCATACTGAATGGGGAAAAATTGAGACCATTCCTGTTCAGAACTGGAACCAGATGAGGTTGCCCACTGTCACCACTTCTATCAACATAGTGCTGGAAGTCCTATCCATGACAATCAGGAAAGAGGACGAAATTAAGGGCATCCAAATGGGGGAAAGAAGAGGTCAAATTATCACTCTTAGCTGATGATACGATCTTATATCTAAAAAACCCCAAAGATTCTGATAAGAGACTCCTGGAATTGATAAATAAATTCAGCAAAGTCTCAGGTTACAAAATAAATGTACACAAATCAGTAGCATTCATATAGGCCAATAACAGTCAAGCTGAGAAGCAAATCAAAGTCTCGATATCTTTCACAATAGCAACAAAGAACATAAAATACCTAGGAATATGCTTAACCAAGGAAGTGAAAGACCTCTACAGAGAGAACTATGAAACACCGAGGAAGGAAATCGAATAGGATGTAAACAAATGAAAAAATATATCATGCTCATGGATTGGCAGAATCAACATTGTTAAAATGTCAATACTACCCAAAGTGATTTATAGATTCAATACAATCCTCATTAAAATAACAATGTTGTTTTTCACAGATCTAGAAAAAATAATTCTATGCTTCAAATGGAAACAGAGAAGAGCCTAAATAGCCAAAGCCACCTTAAGTAAAAAGAACAAATCAAGAAGCATCACTTTATCAAAGTTCAAGCTATACTACAAGGCTATGGTAACCAAAACAGTATGGGCTGGCACAAGAACAGAGACATAGACCAATGGCTCATAACAGAGAATCCAATTATAAAACCATTGTCATATTGCCATCTGATATTTGACAAAACAGAAAAAAACATACACTGGGAAAAACAATACCCATTTGATAAATGGTGCTGGGAAAATTGGATAGCCACAAAACTGAAACAGGATCCATACCTCTCACCACTCACAAAAATTAATTCATAGTGGATAACGGACTTAAGGCATGAAGCTATAAGAATTCTAGATGAAAATTTTGGAAAAACTCTTATAGATATCAGCCTAGGCAAAGAACTTATGAAGAAGAGTGCAAAGGCAATCACAGCAATAGCAAAAATAAATGGGGCCTGATCAAATTAAAAACCTTCTGCACAGCTGAGGAAACAACCCATAGAGTGAATACACAACCTACACAATGGGAAAAAATATTTGCTTGCTATACATTTGATAAATGTATAGATAGATAACCGGAATCTACAAAGAACACAAGCAAATAAGCAAGAAAAAGTCAAACCCCATTAAAAAGTGGGCAGGCCAGGCGTGGTGGCTCATACTTGTAATCCTAGCACTCTGGGAGGCCGAGGTGGGTGGATTGCTTGAGGTCAGGAGTTCAAAACCAGCCTGAGCAAGAGCGAGACCCCGTCTCTACTATAAATAGAAAGAAATTAATTGGCCAACTAATATATATAGAAAAAATCAGCCGGGCATGGTGGTGTGTGCCTGTAGTCCCAGTTACTCTGGAGGCTGAGGCAGGAGGATCGCTTGAGCCCAGGAGTGTGAGGTTGCTGTGAGCTAGGCTGACGCCATGGCACTCACTATAGCCTGGGCAACAAAGTGAGACTCTGTCTCAAAAAAAAAAAAAAGAAAGAAAAGAAAAAAGAAAAAGCGGGCAAAAGACATGAATAGAAGCTTATCAGAAGAAGACAGAATAATGGCCAACAAACATGTAAAAATGCTCAAAGTCTCTAATTGTCAAGGAAATGAAAATCAAAACCACAATGAGCTATCACCTACCTCCAGTGAGAATGGCTTTTACGAAAAAAACCCCAAACAAAAATGTTGGCATGGATGAAGAGAGATAGTAACACTCATACACTGCTGGTGGGACTGCAAACTAGTACAACCTCTATGGAAAGCAGTATGTGGATGCCTCAAAGTACTAAAAGTAGACCTACCATGTGATCCAGCAATACTACTACTGAGTATTTACCCATAGGACAAAAGGACATTTTATAAAAAAGACACCTGCACCTCGATGTTTATATAGCAGCATAATTCACAATTGCAAAGATGTGGAAATAAGCCAGGTGCCTATCAATACATGAGTGGACTAATAAAGTGGGATATATGTATTCTAGGGAGTACTACTTAGCCATGAAACAACGGTGAACTAAGCCATTCACACGGTTCTGAATGGCTCCCTCTCCACTTACACCAACAACCTCTTTATTGTACCAGGGCCTGGCAAGGAAAGGGATTCTCTTTAACTCTTTGGCCAAGAATCCCCCCCAGCAGAAGGACTAAAACCAGAGACTGTCACAGCCCCTGAGGAGTGGAGCAGGGTTGGGCGAGCTGGAGCTGCCTCTGCGTGCTGAGCCCTCCTAAGTGCTGCTGGACTGAAAGGGAAATTATACATGTATGTTTGCATGGCTCTCCCGTCATTCTGCGCTGGCCCCAGGGGGTGGGCCAGGCCTCAGAGATTATGTCCTTAGGGAACAGGCCACACACGGTCCAGTGATGCACTGAGGTCCAACAACTGGTGGGCAAAGCCAGGACACCTGAAATCATCCATCTCCCAGTCTGTCCCTGAGCGTCTCCATGCCGATCTCTGCAGCCTCCCAACCACCCTGCCTGTGGCTTTCAGCCAATTTTACCTGCAAAGAGCATTTGGCTATTGGGGCTGGGGTCCCTGCTGGTCACCTCTCCTTTAAGGCAGGAGCATGGGAGAACCTGGACGTGGAGGAGGGGGAAAGTGTGTCAAGACAGATCCGGGATGGAGCTGTGACAGCAGTGACCCCTGCCAGCCTTACGGTGCCAGGCTCCCTGCCAAGCACTTCTGAGCTTTCGCTCATTTAATCCTGACAGGTCCTGTTACTCTCCCCACAGCTTTGCAGATGAGCAAACAAGTTAACTAGAGAGTCAGGAGTGAATCGAGACCTGTGGGCTCCGAGCTGAAGGTTCATCCCATGAGGCACAGCCCAGTGAACCCTTGCTGGAGAGATCAGGCCCACAGTGACGTCAAGGTTGTAAGCTGCAAACTCGGGAATGTTCTGAAACCAGCATGGCTGCTGCTGGGTGTGCTGTGCCTCCTGGCTTCCCTCTGGGCACCGAGACAAACCAAGGCTGGGAGGAAAGGTCAGCAGGAGAGGAAGCGAGGCAGGAGAGAGGAAGGAGGAAGGGATGGAAGGGGCAGGGGAAGGGGTTAGAACAGGGTAGGGCCGAGAAGCAGGTACAGTCTGCTTGCCTTTCAATGGGGCTTGATGCGGGCAGTTCCGAGCTCATGGTCACGCAGGCTGCCCGTGGAGACAGGTGTCCTGCTCAGGAGAAACATTTAGTTTACCAAAGTGGCGACGGGCACCCAAGAGGGTATAGATCCCTGCTGGAAAAAATCAAACTGTGAGAATGCTGGTGTAGCATGATCTCCTGTTGGAAAGTGAATAACATAAAATGATATACTTTCAGGGAAAAAAGTGGAGAAAACGCCACAAACTCAGTAGTCACCATCCCCAGGGGCCTCTGGATAGGAAATTAACTTCCTACATTCTGTGTATTTCTACAACGTTTAAATGTTTAACAGTGCACTTGTAATGCTTTGGTAATTTGAAGGACACATGACAACAAAAGTGATTTCAAAGAGAGGGTGGCTGCACTCTCTGTGCATCGTCCTCTCCAAACTTCCAAATAGCCAGCATGGGCAGGTGACTGCACAACATGTGCTGCCAGGAAGTGTTTGTGCATGGAAAAGCATTTTGTCCTCAGTATGCACCATTAATTATTAAGCAGATGCTGTTAATCCTCTCAGATTGGTTTAATGTTTAGTCTAAAGGTTGAAAACTAAAGAGTTTGTGCCTTCACTTTGCATACTGTTGCTTAGATGTTAGTTTCAAAAAAAAAAATGAAATGAGGCCAGGAAGCATGGTTCATGCCTATAATCCAAACACTTTGGGAGGTCAAGGCAGGAGGATCACTTGAGGCCAGGAGTTCTAGACCAGCCTGAGCAACATAGTGAGATCCCATCTCTCCAAATCTGAAAACTTAGCTGGGCATGGTGGTGCACATACCTATAGTCTCAGCTACTCATGAAGCTGAGGCAGGAGGATCCCTTGAGCTCAGGAGTTCAAGGTTGCAGTGAGCACCAACCTGGCAACAGAGTGGGACTCTTTCTAAAGGAAGAAAAAAAAAGAAAGAAAGAAAGAAAAGATGAAATGACGGGGGAAATGGTGTGATTTCATTTTGATTTTGTGACTGTATCAATGCTTAGACCTAGAACACTTTTACTATTTGTACCAGCTACACTGCTCTCCTGATCTTCAGGCTTGGAATAATAGGTTGCTGGAGTAATAATTACTGATCCAGTGAGAAAGGCAGACTCAGTAAGATGCAAAGTGAAAGATAAAATGCCAAAGCCTGAACAGGGAGGATGGATGGCCGGGGAAGGAGGCCACGGTGTTAACGAAAAGCTCGGCACTTATCCTCAGGGCTGCGTCAGAAGAATGAGGACAAGTGGATTGAAGAGAAGGAAGGGGCGATTATTAATTTGCCGGCAGTTGAGGAAACTGGCAGACTCCCATCTTAACGTCCCAATTTCCCTGACTATAAGCAGAAAGACAGAGCTTTTAGAGGGAGGCTTTCAGCTCCAGGCTATGTCCCTTTAACTATAGTTGATGACTCTGATCTGTCCCATCTCAGCGGAAGACAATCTCCACCCCCACCCAGAGGGCTGTTGGGAGGACATCTGTGGTACAAAGGACATTCCCTTGCCCCTCCCAACCACTGGTCGGAATAAGGATGCTGGTTTCAGTGTCCAAAAAGAGTGGGGGAAGTTTTAAAGAGCTCACAAAACATTCATGCCCTTTTCTCAGGCCTTTCCCTCTGAAGGGAGGGAGGGCAGGAGCCACCCAGGAGGCTTCCTGGAAGAGGTGGGTGGGGCTAGTCTGGGGGAGGGCAGGGGGGAGTAGGCATCATGGAGAGGAGGCATCTCAGGGAGGGTGGCAGCAGTGAGGGGGAGGAGCTGCACGGGACAGCCCTGGGGTCGGCGCCCTCCTGTAGCCCTGAAATAGGGTTTGGTTCCCTACCCCAGCTGTGGCTCTGGGCTGTGGGAGACGTTGGCCAGAGCTGGGTTGGGACCCAACCTACTCCCACTCTGGACTCTGCCCAGGAATTCCTGCGGAAGTGAGAAGAAGGGCCAAAGGGAAAGAAGAGTGGACAAGCTTGTCCCCACAGAAACGTGCTCTTCTGTCTTTCCCCAAGAGCCACCTACTAACCACAGATCTGTGAGTAGAAATAGGACCTTGCTTTTCTGTGTGCAGCCGTGTGCGTGTGTGTGTGTGTGTGCACGCGCACACACAGGGTTCTCCAAGCTTTGTCCTTATGTGCGTGTGTCAGTAAGCGTGTCCATGCACATGCCGCTGGGCATGTCAGCTAAGCAGGCTGGCGTTTGGACAGAGTAGGGTGTTCCTCAAGGTCAGAAAAGGTGAGGGAACAGGAGTGGGGAGAGAGGAGGCGGAGGTGTTAGTTGGCACTCTTACCTATGGATAAGCTTAAGTCTATGAACTGAGCTCCAGTTAAAAAGGGACTATATTAGCTCTGGCAGTGAAAGCTCCAGGGGTAGGATGGGTTTCAGGGACAGTTGGATCCAGGGACTGGAAGGATGTCTTCAGGATGTGTGTCTCCATCTTTCAGAGGTAGAGTAGTATAATACAACTGAGATAGCACTTAATGGCAGTGGTTTTAACCTGTTGTGACAAGTGTTGAAACCTAGCGCCTCTCCAGAAAATGCCTATATTGGATGCACACACATGCTGTCCTTCCCGTGAAGTGGCAGAATGTGCTCTTTCTGCCTGGAACTCCCAGGTTTACAGGGCTTGCCTCTCACAGGGTCAGAGGTGAGTGCAGGAAGGGGGAACTTCTCCATGTGCTGGGGACCAAGGCCGTGGCCCACAGGCATGGTTCTGCGTGGGTGTGGGGACATGCAGGCGGACCCCTGTGAGGCTCTGCTGCGCCAGGCATCTGCCCCCGACCTAGCCCTCTCTCCCTTCGCAGGCCCCATCCTGGGCCCTGCCCAGCCCTCCCCTTTCAGCTCTGGGCCTCCCCGATTTGTCTTGCAGCTGGAAGGTCTGGCACATGGAGAACGATAGGCCAAGCCGAAGAGAGTCCGTCCCCCTCAAACCCTCGGCCAACAGTCCAGAGAATGTGGGATCTGATACCTTGGAAAGCATGGTCTGTCCCCTTCTCGTGCGTGGTCCTGGCCTCCCCTCCTCCTCACCTGAGTCCCGGCCGCTGGCGGGGACTTTGCTCACCGTCCTCCTTCACCCTCCTCTGCCGCCTCCTCCTCACCTCTTTGCACAGTTAAGAAACCCTGACCTGTCAGCCTCTGCAGCTCAAAGAAGCCCCCTTTATTTCACTCATTAAACGTTTACTGAGCACCTACTCTGTGCCACACAGCCTGTCCTAGCGTGCAGGACGGGGGGGGGGGTCCCAAGGAGGAAGTGACAGTTGAGCTGTGATGTAAAGAATGAGAACAGGAAGCAGATGAATGCAGCTCGGGGAGGGATCCCAGAGGACGCCTCAGCCTTCAAGGCTCTGGTCATCTTGTCCTCACTCCCAAACTACCGGGTCGAGGCACACCACCCAGGACCTCGGTGCCCAGCATGATCCTCCCAACCTCCATGGCAATGCCTCCTCCTTCACGGCCCTGTGTCCCCCAGGGTGCACCTTTCCCACCATTGTCTGCAGCAATGTCCACCCCTCGCCCAGCCCCCCCACAGCCTGTGGGCACATGGCGCCCGAGTCATTGATCAGGAAGCTCTGCCCGTGGCCTTCCTTAGAGTCCCCTCCTGGCCCTGCCACCACACCTCAGTCACAGGTGTCCCTCCCTCATGAAGACCATGACCCTGAGGGCAGGATGTGTCTCGGGCAGAGCCCTACACATAGCAGGTGCTCGGTGCATGCGTTGCGGAAGTTAGTTAAGCAGCCTTCTAATTCCTTCCTGTACAACTGTCCAGTTCCCGCCTCAGCCCACTCGGGAGGGGCCTGTGGGTGTCCCCGTGCGGCCAGGGTCTCCCTCTCCTGTCCCTCAGCTCTGTCTGACCTGATGGCTCCCTGCTGCCTGTAGGAGGAAGGACGGCTGCCTGACAAGGACTCGAGCCCCACAGAGGCCGGGGACAGCCGGAGTGAGGCAGGGCCAGAGCCCCTCTCCACCTGGTAGGTGACCTCTGTGAGGGACAGTGGCTGGGTGGGTGGAGGCCACCTTGGGGAACAGGGGGGGAGCCACCTCCTGACGATGGGGGGACGGCTCCGCGCACCTCAGTGGAAGGAAGCAGTGATGGTGCTTTAGCTCACTCGCAGGTAGATGAGCCTCAGAGGCGACCCCGGCCGAGGGTTCCCCACCTACGTTTAAGCAGCCAGAGTAAAGTCCCACTGGGAACCCCACAGATGCTGGGGGCTGCTCTGGTTGCAGCTGGGTAGGAGGCCCCGACCAGCCAGGCCTCCTGGTCAACCTCCCCCAGCTGCTTCCACCCCATCCACGCTCCGGGCACCTTGGGGAGCCCCGAGGCTGAGTTTGGAAACTCCTGGACTGGGCCAGGCCTGTGTTTGTCAACTGGAGGCCAAAGCCAGGAGAGGGAAAGGGACTGATAGGTCCAGTTGCACAGGCAGTGAGTGGCCCAGGTGTGCCCAGAACTCTGGGTCCTGATGTACCGGCCCCTGAGGACCCTCACTGGCCAGAATGTGAGCTGAAGAAAGCAGGAAGGGCAGGAGTGGAGGTGGGGGAGGGGTCCCACCTATCTGTCTGGGTGGGGGATCGGGGAACAGGCCTCCCTCACCCTCTCAGGGCCTGGGAGCTGGCGACAGGCTCCGGCAATAGCAGCTAGGTGTGTGCAGGTGAGACTGGGGGAGCATCTAGCAGACGCTCAGCCTAGGGGAGCCCCAGAGCTGCTCAGACAGCAGCCTTGCCCCGGGTGCCCAGCTTGCCCCCATCACCATTTTACCGGGGACACACCTGAGTGGCTTTAGCCTGGAGGTGCTGGGCCTCCCACTGGATCCCCACTGGGGTGGGAGTCGGCGGTGCCACTCACGGACCTGTTGGTCCTATTTCCAGGAGAATCCTGCGGCCGGCCCAGAGAGCGAGACGCTTCTGCAGGGAGCACAAGCAGCTGATTCGATGGATCTGCATAGGCCTGCTCTGTACTGGTGAGCCCTGCCCAGGGACAATGACTCTTGCCCCCACTGTCCATGTTGCAGGGCATGGTTGTTCACTTACCCACACATGCAACACATGAGGGTTGAGCAGCAGCTCCGGGCCATCTCCCTTGCCGGGCACTGAGTCTTCCGTTAGCGGGACCTGATCCTGTTCCCGAGGTGCTCCCTGTCTAGTGAGGGAGGGGAAAGACATTCCCTGCAAACGAAGAAACCCTCTTGGAGCACCAAGTAGGGCAGGGGGATGGTCAAGGAGGACTTCCAGGAAGAGGTGACATTGGGTTCACACAGATTGAGCAGGAGTTAGCCAGATGCAGAGGAGGAACATTAAGAAGTGGGAGGCACCCCATGCAGGGGAGCAACAGTGAAAACTGTCGGGCTGTGGGTTTTGATAAAATCCAGACTTGGATTCTGCCCTCAAGACCAGAGTGCGCAACTGGAGGGCTTTAACTTTTTATTTTTGCTCCTAAGATCTAGAACATTGGAGGTTTAGACACGAAGTGTCAAGGCTGAATTCACTCTGTGGGACCGTGGGAGGGGGCAGCACAGACAGGGAGAAAGGCGTGTTGAGGCCATGGTGCCTGTGTCAGAGTGCAGGGGTGAAGGACGGCGGGATTGTTGGGCCCTGGGGAAGCAAGGCAGCGGGATGGGGGACCAGTCAGGTGTGAGGGCGAAGGAGACCCTGAGTCGAGCCTGCCTCGGTTCCTGCCTGTGTGTCGGGGTGCCCCCGCAGAGCTGGGGGACATGACTGAGGAGCCGGGAGGGGTAACTCAGTTTGCTGGAGACACAACTGCCAGGCCACGCAGGGGGAGAGGAGGTGCCCAGGGACACTTGGAGAATGGATTGGGAAGCGAGTGAAGGACAGAAGCCTAGGACCAGCTGCACAGATGGGCTTGGCAGGAGCCAGAGTCCCAGAGAACGCAGGGATTCAAGAAGGAGGGAAAGACCGACAGCCAGTCCAGATGATATGCACTGAGCAGCGTGGCAGTGTCCACTGATGCAGAGACAAGAGGCTCCTAGGTCACATAGGATGAAGATGGACTACATCTACATGGACAAGTGGACTGGACTGAAGGGAGTTGAGGCAGTGTAGACAGCAAGGGTAGACGGCCCTTTGGAGAAATTTTTTCTGAGAATAGGGTGGAAGTATGAGTGGCAGTGTGTGACAAGGTGTCAAGGACAGGCATGTGGCTATGAGCTGATGTGGGAGCTTGTAGAAATCCTGTGAAGGGACAGGGGCTGAAGTGGTGACGAATGGAGCTGGGTCCTCTGGGCACAGAGAAGGGCTCCTGGGCTTAGGGAGGGGCAGCAGGTGTGCCTAGCAGAAGCTCACTCGTGCTGTTGGGTTGGGGGTCGAGGGGAGAGGATGTGTGGATGCAGAGCCCATTGTAGCTGCCAGGGAAGGGAGGGGACAGTGAGAGAGGTGACAGCAGTGGCCCCAGTCTGCTGAGATGGGGTCAGTCCATGTCCCTTGGCTTCCTGTTCCAGGGTACGTGTCTGAGACAGTGAAGTCTTCTTCTGGCAGAGCCCGAATCCAGGGCCCTCTGTGGTGCCCTTGCAGACTGAGATTTGTTTCTCTTAAAGAAGTGATGAAATTCTCTCTTAAGTAGAGAATGGAAATTGCCTCAAGTGTCAACTGATCTGTTCGCTTCTGCAGCTGGTCCGAGTTCTGTGTCTTTGCAGGCAGGTGGCCCTGCTCCAGTACGGGCTTGCTCTGGCTTCCCTCCCCTGTCCTCTTGTGAGCCTCTCGTGGGGACAGCTCCTGCTGCTCAGGGCCTGCTGACACTCAGAGCTGCCCTGGGCTCTGCCTGCCGCACCCACACAGGCCCTTCTCTCTTGCAAGCCCGGGCACCTCCCTGCACCTGCCCAGGGAGCAGGGCACAGGCAGCTCTGCCTGTGGTGACATGGACACAGCTGGCTCTGGCTGTGGCATCATGAGCCAGACACTTTCCCTGGGGCCACCTGTGTCCTTGCTCTTGTCATGCTTTAGCTACTTTGGTGGCAGGAAACTAAAACTAATTTTTCTGATCACATTTTTTAGTCCATGGCTGTAAGTCCTTTCCGTTCTTCAAGGACCCTGGGTTTTGAAATTCAGAAGCCAGAGAGAGACATTTGCCCTTTGTGTCCACAATCACATTTCTGGAGGTGTGAACACAGAGCAGCTCAGCCACTTAAAGGAGAGAAGGGCAAAGGGGGAAGAGGACATTCCTGGAAGGAGACGATGGATTCATATTCCAGAACACAGGCCTGGCACACACACGCGAACTCCTTCACAGAGCAACTGACTTGTTCGTCTCCGTCCTCCATCCTAGCAGGGCTCGGGTCATGGCAGGTGCTCCTTCAACACCCAGACATCCATGCTGCTTGGCCTCACGGCCTCGTACACATCTCCCTCCCAGTTGGTTGGCACTTTACAGTTTGCAAAGCCCTTTCACACATTCTGCCAATGAGCTCATAACACCCTTTGGACACAGGAGGGATGATTGTTTTCACTGGCAGATGAGGACACTGAGGCTCAGAGAGGTTGGGGGACCTTCCTGCCCTCCAAGTTCCTGCTGGAGTAAGGTGGTGTCTGTGGTGGGCTGCAGGGGCCTGGAGAGGCGGGATGGTCATCCAGCCCCCTGCCCGGTCTCGTCCCCCAGGGTACGCTGTCTTCCTGCTGGTTGCCTGCATCCGGAATTTCCAGAGGGCCCTGGGGCTGTTCGTGCTCACCTGTGTGGTCCTCGCCTTCCTGGCCTACAGGCTGCTGAAGAGGCTTCTGGCGCCAAAGCTGAGGAGGCATAAGAACCCTCACGGCCACCCCTGCCTGAATCTCTGTGCTAAGAGGTGAGTGAGCTCAAGCTCTGAGGCAGGGTGGGGGCAGCCGCTGGCTGGGGTTCAGCTCTGAGGTCACAGCCGGGGCTGAGAACTTTCTGGGGGCCCCAGGGCAGGAGTTGCTGATTGGCTTCCGAGGCAGCAGCCATCTCTGGAGTTTTGCTAGTTCTCCTCTGGTTCTCTGCCCTGGTTACGACAGGTGACTGTGCTGGCTGAGAACAGGACTCAGCAATTCCCTACACTCAGAGATCCCAGCCCATCCACGCAGGGAGGGCCTGTCAGTGCCTCCCATGAGATCACCGGGGCATGCAGGGACCAGCCCTGGAGTCTGACTCAGCAGGCTGGGTGGGGTGGAGGTGCCAGTGTTTTTAGTTACCCCCAGGGCATTCTGACTAGCCAACCATGCCCCTGGACAACAGTTTGGAATCCCCTGACTTTCTAGCAGGATTCCTTGGAGCTCTGGAAACCTCAGAGATGCCACAGGGCAGGAGTGGAAGGTTGGGAGGGGAACATCAAAACTCTCCCCTTCCCATTTTATCCAGGCAGCTAAAATTTATGTGCTTTGTAAATCAAGGTATGAAAAAAAAAAAAAAGCTGGAGAAAAAGGTTTCTATGGTTTAAAAAAAAAAAAAAATCACAACCTACTTCAGTACTGCTGTCAATGACTGAACTGATGACCAAAGACATCCAATGACTGAGTCAGGACAATGCAGGGCACAGTTGTGTCTCCCAGAATGAGATTCACATACTACAGCAAAGTGATTTGACCTGGCCTATTGATGAACACATATACAATTTTATTTATAAGTGCCTTCATTTTTAAATTTGACTTCCCTTTATTAAATAGGTTTTTTTCTTATTTTTTTTACACAGAGTCTCACTCTGTCACCCCAGCTAGATTACAGTTGTGTCATTATAGCTCACTGTAACTTCAAACTCTTGGACTGAAGTGATCCTCCCCCTTCAGCCTCCTGAGTGGCTGGGACCACAGGGGCGTGCCACCACATCCTGTTAAGTTTTCTACTTTCTTGTGGGGACTGGGTCTTGCTGTTATTCAGGCTGGTTTCAAACTCTTGGCCTCAAGTGATCCTCCCACCTCAGCCTGCAGAGTGCTAGGATTACAGGCATGAATCACCATGCTCAGCCTGTTAAATAGATTTTTTTAAAGGATTTATTTTTACAGTGGTCTTGTATTTATGACAAGTAATTGATAATGGTTTTTCATTTGAGGGATTCATATAGAGTTTGCTTTAAAAAATACAGATAAATCGGACTTCATAAAAACTAAAAAGTTTTAAGCCAGGAATGTTGGCTCACAGCTGTAATCCCAGCATGCTGGGAAGCTGTGGCAGGAAGATTGCTTACGCCCAGGAGTTCAAGATTGCAGTGAGCTGTGATGATGCCCCTGTACTCTAGCCAGGGTAACAGAGTGAGACACTGTTTCGAAAAACAAACAACCCCAACAAAACAAAACACTAAGAACTTTTTGATTCAAAGGACACAATTAAGAAAGTGAAAGAACTACCCACAGAAGGAAAGAAAATATTTGCAAATCATATATCTGCTAAGGGACCTGTATCCAGAATTGGAACCCAATAATAAAAAAACAATTGGAAAATGATCAAAGTATTTGAATAGACATTTTCCCAAAGGTATACAAGTAGCCAATAAGCACATGAGAACATGGTGAACATCACTAGCTATTATGAAAAAGGAAATCAGGCCAGGTGCGGTGGCTCACGCCTGTAATCCTAGCACTTTGGGAGGCCGAGGCGGGCAGATCGCTCAAGGACAGGAGTTCGAAACCAGCCTGAGCGAGACCCCGTCTCTACCAAAAATAGAAAGAAATTAATTGACCAACTAAAAATATATATACAAAAAATTAGCCGGGCATGGTGGCGCATGCCTGTAGTCCCAGCTACTCGGGAGGCTGAGGCAGTAGGATCGCTGAGCCCAGGAGATTGAGGTTGCTGTGAGCCAGGCTGACGCCACGGCACTCACTCTAGCCTGGGCAACAAAGTGAGACTCTGCCTCAAAAAAAAAAAAAAAAAGGAAATCAAAACCACAATGAGATACCACTCCACACTCAGTAAGATGTTTATAATCAAAAAGCAGATCATAACAAGTGTTGGCAAAGATGTAGAGAAATGGAAACCCTCATACCTTGCTTGTGGAAATGTAAAAAGGTGCAGCTGTTTTAGAAAACAGGCTGCCCCTCATCATGTAAAATGCAGAGTTATCACATGACCCAGAAATTCCACTCCTAGGAGGCTGGGTAAGGTTGCTCAGTAATCTTAGCACTCTGGAGAACAAGGCAGGAGGATCACTTTAGCTCAGGAGTTCAAGACCAGCCTGAGCAAGAGTGAGACCCCACCTCTACTAAGAATAGAAAAAATTAGCTAGGTTGGTGGCCCTTTCCTGTAGTCCTTGCTACTTAGGAGGCTGAGGCAGGAGGATCCCTTGACCCAGGAGTTGGAGTTTGCTGCGAGCTAGGCTGATGACATGGCACTCTAGTTGGGCAGGACATAAGACTGTCAAAAAAAAAAAAAAGAAAAAGAAAAAAAAGAAAGGAATTCCACTCATAAGTATATACTTAAGAGAAATGAAAACATATGTCTACACAAACTGGTACACAAATGTTTATATAGCATTATTCATAGCAGCCAAACAGTAGAAACGTTCCAAATATCCATCATCTGGAAAAGTGGATAGGACAATGCATATATGTATACAAAGCAATATTATTTGGCCATAAAAAGGAATTTAGTACTGATAAATACTGTAATAATGATGAACCTTGAGAACGTTACGCTCAGTGAAAGGAGCCAGTCATAAGAAAGCACAGACCTCAGGATTCCATTTGCATGAAATTTCTATGAAGACAAGGATAAAGTAGTGATTGCTGGGGTGCATGGGAAGATTAGGGGGCGATGACCAGTAGTTCAGGGTTTCTCTTTGGGCTGATGAAAATGTTCTAGGATTGAGGTAATGGTTACACAAATCTGTAACTATACTAAAAACCATTGAACCATCTACTTTACATGGGCAAATTGTATGTTATGTGAATTTTGTCTCAAGAAAGCTGTCAAAAAATACACGGATTTGGGGCCAGGCATAGTGGCTCATGCCTGTAATACCAACACTTTGGAAGGCTAAAGTGAGAGGATCACCTGAGGCCAGGAGTTCGAGACCAGCCTAGGCAATATAGAAGACTCTATCTTTACAAAAAATAGAAAATAACAATGAGCCAGGCATGGTGGTGTGCACCTGTAGTCCCAGATATTTGGGAGGCTGAGGCAGGAAGATCACTTGAGCTCAGGAGTTTGAGGTTGCAGTGAGCTGTCATGATGCCACTGCACTCTAGCCACAGTGACAGTGCAAGACTCTGTCTCAAAAACAAACAAACAGAAAACACGGATGTGATTTTGGCTTCCAGTCATGATGAAGTAACAGAGACCAGTTTACCCTCCCGCTTGAAACAACAAAAACACTGGAACAAAAATGTGAAACAAGCTCTCATGATATTGGACATTAGGCAATAAGGGACAGTGATCTTTGAGAACTGGGAAACACATGAGGTGAGCCCTGTGATCGTCCCAGCTTACTATCTGGAGAGGGTTTCCTGGCCCCCTACAGGGAAGGAGAACTAGGATGGGGCAGCAGATGCCCTAAGTTGAAGAGACAGAGCTGGAAATCCTGGGAAGACGGGGTGGCTGGAGTTCACACTGCAGAGGAGCAGACGAGAGAGAGGGACGCAGACAGAAAGGTCCAGAGAGGTGCAGAGAGTCCTCCCTGAACATCCAGTGCAGTTCTGACCAGTGAATGCACATGAGGAAACTCCCCGAGGCCTAGGAGAATCACACAGGGTCAGGAATAGTGTCCCAACAGCCCGGGTGGAAAAACCTCATAATACACAGGACACTGTGAGTAATAGTAAGGGTCTTGGCTCAGTGGAATGGAAAACAATTAACCCCAGAATAAATGTTTCTCCGGCCCTGCCCAACAAATCTTAGACAAAACCCAAAAGAGTCAAACAGAGGAGCATCAGTTATCCACAGCACAACTTTCAGTGGGCAAATATACATGCATTGATGTCAACAAAGGAGAAGGAGGGCAGAAAGGATATTTGAAGAAATAATTTCCAAAAAATTATAGATTTCATGAGAATTTTATACCCAAAGATTCAAGAAGCTCCATGGACCCCCAAGAAACATGAAAAGATGACACCAAGGCACCTCATAATCAAATTGCTGAAAACCAGTCATAAAAAGAAAAATCAATAACTTCAGAAGAAAAGACAAAAAAGTATGTATTACTAGAAGATTTCTTGTTAAAAACATGTTAGAAAAGAGTGGAACAGTAAACGACAACAACAAACCCCAAAACCTGTCAACCTAGAATTCTTTACCAGTCAAATATCTTCCAAATAAGAAGGGGAAATAAGACCTTTTTCTAGACATACAAAAGCTGAAATAATTTTGCAGGAATAATGCCAACTTATACTATAAGAAATGTTAAAGGAAATTCTTCAAACAGAAGAAAAATGATACCAGATAGAAACCTGTTTCTACACAAAGGAATGAAGAGCCCCCCAAAAGGTAACTCCATGGGTAAATATAATGACTATTTTTTTTATTATGTAAACATCTTTAATAACATAATCAACTTGTAAAGTAAGAATAATTGCAATATATTAGGGGATTTATATTATATTTAGAAGTAAATAGCACATACCTATAGTCCCAGCTACTCAGGAGGTTGAGGTGGGAGGATCACTCAAGGCCGGAGTTTGAGGTTCCAGTGCACTATGATTATACCTGTGAATAAGCCATTGTACTAAAGGTGACCCTACATATCAAAAACCTATCTCTAAAAAAATTTTTTAAAAAAATAAATAAATAACAATAGCATAAATGTTGGGAAGGAAGAAATGAAATTATACTGTTGTAAGGTTTTTATAGCATCTGTGAAGTAATATGGCATCACTTGAAGGTAGTTTGTAGTAAATGAAACAGGTATACTATAAATGCTAACCACTAAAATAACCCAATGAAGAGTTATAGCTAACAAGTCTAAAACGGAGAATCTTTAAGAAATAGTCAATCTGAAAGATGGCAGAAAAATAGGAAAAGGGAAACAAACAACCAATGGGACAAACAGAAAATAAATGCAAGATGGTAGATTTTAACCCACCTATACCAACAATTACATTAAGTAATGCAGTCACCTCTCCTCTCTCAAAATCTTTCTGGACTTCTTAGGCTGTGATAAACTGTGCCAATTAAAAGTTTTAAACTGAACTAAAAAAAAAGTAAGATTGGACAAACAAAGTAAGACCCAACTATATATGCTGTCTAACTATATGCTAGACATAAAACCTACACTTGGATGTTTATAGTATCTTTATTTCTAATTCCCAAAACTTAGAAGCAATCAAGATATCCTTCCATAGGTGAATGGATAAATAAAATGTGGTACATCCAGACAATGGAATATTATTCAATGCTAAAAAGAAATAAACTATCAAGCTGATAAAGACATGGAGGAAACTTAAGTGCATGTTGCTAATTGAAAGAAGCCGATCTGAAAAGGCTCCATACTGTATGACTGCAGCTATCTGGCATTCTGGAAAAGGCAAAACCATGGAGACAGTAAAAAGGTCAGTGGTTACCAGGGGTTAGGGGATGAGAGGAGGGAGAGATGAGTAGGTAGAGCACAGAGAACTTTTAGGGCAGTGAAAATACTCTGTGTGATGCTGTGATGGTGGATACGTGTCATTGTACATTTAGCCAAACACATGGAATGTACAGCACCAACAGTGAATCTTAAAGTAAACTTGGACTGTAGGTGATTATATCATTTCAATGTAGGTCATCAATTGTAACAAATGTGCCATTTTGGGGGGATATTGGTAATGGGGGAAGCTGTCTGCATGCAGGACTGGGGGCGTATGGTAAATTGCTGTTTCTTCCTCTCGGTTTTGCTGTGAACCTAAACTGCTCTAAAAAAAAAAACAACAATGTCTTAAACAAAAATTTAGGAAAAATGGAACATACACCCAAATGTAAAGCCTAAGGCTATAAAACTTCTTTTAAAAAACATAGGAGAAAATCTTTATGACCTCAAGATTTCTTAGATGCAAAACAAAAATTACAATCAGTAAAAAAATTGATAAGTGGAACATCCTCAGAATCAAGAACTTTTGCTCTTCAAAAGCATTGTTAAGAGAATAAATAGATACGCCATGACTAGGGGGAAAGTTTTTCAAATCCCATATCTGACAAAGCACTTGAAACTAGAATATATATTGAACTTTCAAAACTTATTAATAATAAGAAAAACAACCCAATTTAAGAATGGGCTCAGGATTTTAAGACACATTTAATTTAAAAAGATACATAAGAGGCAATAAGCACGTGGTAAGATGCTCAACATCATTTGTCATCAGGGAAATGCAAATGAAAACTAGAAAGAGATACTACTGTGTACCTGTTAGAGTGGCTGGAGTTCAGAAGACTGACCACACCAATGTTGGCAAGGATATGCAGGAACTAAGACTCTTGCATACAGCTGGTCAGAATGTAAAAATTGTATAATCACTGTGGAAAGCAAATTGGCAGTTTGTTAAAAAGTTAGACCTACCATGTAATCTGTGTATTCCACTAACAGACATTTACCCAAGAGAAACGAGAGCATGTATCTATACAAAGACTTGCACGGGAATGTTTGAATGTTCACGGCAGCTTTATCTGTAATAGCCAAAAACTGGAAACCACCTAAACACCCATCAGTGAATGAAAGGATCAGCAAACTGTGGTATACCCACGAAACAGAATAGTACTCCTTGATAAAAGGGATTGAGCTATTGGATCATGCAGAAACCCAGATGAATCTCAAAATAAAGAGATGGAGTGACAGAAGTCACACAAAAAAGTGCTGTGTGGTTCTATTTCTATGAAATGCTACTATTAAAAAGGCAAACTAATCTAGTGACAGAAAGCCAGTTGTTGCTGGGGGACTGCCGGGCCATGAGGAATCACAGAAGAGCACAAGGAAACTCTGGGGGAGGGTGGCTGGGTATGTTCATTATCTTGATTGTAGTGATGGTGTCAAGGGGTATACGTGTGTCAAAACACATCAAATGGAATACATTCAAAATGTGCAGTTTGTTGTGTATCAGCCATAGTCTGATACAGCTGTTAAAAACGAACAAAAAACCCAAAACATGCATTCAACATCCAGAAAACTAGCAAAGAGATGTGCAAGGTGGCACACGGGCAAGGCAAAAACTGTGCATGTAGAGTGGGACGATATGAGGTTGAAAACATGAGCAGAAACAAGAAGGTAGTCTCTGGCCGGAGTTAGCCTGCTTGAGTTCAGACCCTGGGTCCCCTCTTATGAGCCAATTAAGACTGCATTGAAGAGAATAGACTTGCTGCATAGGGTCTGGGTTAGAATCTCAGCTGTCACTTTCTAGATAGGTGACCTTGGGCCAGTTATTTAGCCTCTCTGTGCCTCAGTTTCCTCATCTCTAAAAGAAGGACAGTAACAGTATTGTTCTCAGCACTCAGCATATTACCTGCACATAATAGGTGTCAATGCACATCAGCTGTCATTACTAGAACCCGGTGAGTTGATGACCAGGTTGGGGGCAGCCCTTGAGCTCCTGATGCTCAGAGCTAGGCTGTCCCAGCCGTTAGGCTGTCCCCTGGACAAGCAAAGCCCAGACACAGAAAAGGGAGTGTTGCTGTCAAGGTTGGGTCCAGGCCTTGGTCTCAGGTGCTTGCGTCAGCGTTCCAGACTGGCATTATTGCTCCTAGGTGTCTGGGAGCGAGGCCCACAGTGCTCTGTCCTGGGCTACACAGGCCCCTCCTCCCTCAAGGTCAGAGACTGGGCTGAGCGTCATTGCAGCTGTGAGAGTCCCATACCTGAGTGAAGCCATGTGCTGGGTACCACACTAACCTTGGGACACACATCCTCTTATTTAATCCTCCCAGCCACCTCGAGAAATGAGGGGTCTTTGGCTTCACTGGACCAATGAAGAAACTAGACTCAGAGAAGCCAGTGGGTCTGCCAGAGGCCACACAGCTTGAGTGGTACTTCCTAGTATCTGGATCCAGAGCTTGTGCTCTTGCCACGGTGCTGTATCCTTTCTCCTTCTCTCTGCCCTGTGTACCCTTTCTCTGGGTGCTAGTGAGTGTGTGTGTGTGTGTAGGTGGGGACACGCCAACGGTGATGGCTTTCTGCCTCTCCCCTGCAGGGGCCTAGCTCTTGCGGCTCTCCTGTTCCTGGTCCTGTGGCTGTCTCTGGACACCTCCCGGCGGCCTGAGCAGCTGGTGTCCTTCGCAGGAATGTGTGTGTTCATCGCTGTTCTCTTTGCCTGCTCGAAGCATCACTGCGCAGTGAGTGCTAATCTGTCAGGTGTGGCCTGGAAGCCAGTGGACGCGTCTCTCTTCTGGCCCTGGGCTGGATCTGGGGGCTGGGATGGGAGCAGATGCTCCTGCTGGGAGAGCCCCGGAGGCTCAGAGCCTGGGGAAGACAGTGGGTATCAGGACAGGGCCCCTGGGAGGCCGGGGAAGGAGATCCCAGGACGAGAGGTGCCAAGTGGGCTGTCACCTCTCTTAGCAGAAGTCCTCAAACTCCCCAGTGGGGCAGGGGATGCTGCCTGGGTGTCTTTGCAGACTCAGAGGCTATGGCTGATCGGCCACTTTGGCTAAGATCAAGTGCTGACTCAGAGGCATTTGTTTCCTTGGTGACAGGCCCTCTGGTCAGTCCGAGCCTGGTCCTCAGATCTGTTTTTTCAAAAGGCCAGACCCCCAGCCATGATTCTGGCTCCCCCCCCCCAGTGATGGCCCAGGGACACAGTGACATGGCACGCCCAAGTCTGCTTGAGTTTCACAGGGGCTCTTGATTGAGTCTTGCCCACTGCCCTGGCCTGCTGCTGCCGAGAGCCTGGCCTATTGTGAATCCCAGGGAGGGTGTGACCATTGGCTAGTGGCCCATGGCTCTGGCTGGTCCCAGCCTTCACTCACAGTCTGGCGGAAGCTCCCACTGCCCCTCAGTAGCCCATGCCCTTTGCCCATCTCCCAGGAGTGAGCTCACAGGACCTTTTTATCGGGTGGGTAACAGGTGTCCTGGCGGGCCGTGTCCTGGGGCCTTGTGCTGCAGTTTGCCCTTGGACTCTTTGTCATCAGAACAGAACCTGGATTTGTTGCATTCCAGTGGCTGGGAGACCAGATCCAGGTGTGTACATGGGACATCCTAGGCTGCCAGGGAATGTGGGAGAAGCCACTCGGTTGCAGGGAGGTGGGTGCTGAGGCCACAGAGCAGGGACTAGGCAGGTGGGTGTGAATGGGGCCCCAGACCAGGTAGTGCCAGGCCGGACAGAGTGCCCTTTCAGAGGCTGGGTCCTCTGTGGAAGAAAATCCCAGACAGGAAGGTCTCTGGGTACCTGACCCTGCCAGGGGGCCTGCGGCGGTCATCAGTGATTTGGCACTTAAAATAGTTTAAAGAGCTAAAAACAAAAATTGTAAAAAATTTATTCTGTGTGTGTGAATTTAAAAATTTTTATTAAAGTTATTCTTTTTCATTGTTGCCAAATACAAATAAGATAAAGTTTACAATTTTAACCATTTTTAAGTATCATTAAATTCATGCACGTTGTTGTGCTCCCATCATGACTTACTATTGTCAAAAGAGAAAATTACAGCAGATTTAGTTTAATGAGCTTAATAGGCATTTATCTGCGATTCTAGAATCGGAGCACAGCTAGTTCTGCAGGCTGGAAGGAGTATTCTGGGGAGGGAGCAGAGGGTGTGGTTGGAAAGAGGGAAGAGGATGAGGAAAGCAGAAAACAAGAGGTGGCTGCAGGATTCACAGTTACCTTCCCTGCAAGGGATGAAGCAGAGGGGACTCCCCTGCCCTGCCAGTGTGGGCTGGCCGGCATCTCTCCCTCTCCTGAGTGTGCGGGGGGCCGAGCAGCAACGTGGTTCCTCGTGGACACGTGGAACTGGAGCACGAGTGACTCCGTTTGGGTGGGTCTGTTGGGCCCCCTGCAGGAGCTCCGTTAAACCAACAGCCTCCTGTAAATTTAACACTCTTGGAAACATAAATTATCAAGGGCATGAGTATAACCTTCCACTCGCCTCCCACTCACTGGTTTGCATGCATGCCCTGTTTGAGTGGAGCTGGCCGTCCTGCCTGCCCGGCTGTGTCCGCTCCCTGGCCCCACCCCAGCACCTGTGGGTATGTGGAGGAAAAGACTGAGAGTTGCTGCTCTGGTCACCTCCCCACTTTATAGACTGGAACACTGAATCCTGGACGAGAGAAGTGACTTGTCCTTGCAATCACACTGCAAGTTGGGACCTAACACTGATCTCCCGTAGAAGTGTGGCTGGACTTGAATGCTCAGTCCGTGAGCCCAGGGCGGGGACGCTATGAGAGAAAGCTGTGCCCTTGGTTGTCAGGGGACTGGGCAGGCATAAGAGGCACCACCTTTGACAGCCTTCGCCACACATCTCGTGTCTTGCTTCCTCATGCTTCTGTATTGTCCTAACAACGTCCATCTCAGAGTATTTCCTTAAAATTCAATGAAAAGGTGTCTCTTTGGAGAATGTGTTCGGAAGGAGCCAGTGCTCATGACTGTGGCTTTACATATGCAGCCAGGTGGCACCCACTCCTTGGTAAGGGCCTGGGGGACCACGTCCCTGGCCAACCTGCCTGGGTCTGGTCTCCCTGTCTCCCTCCTAGGCCGGACCCTGGCCCGTGGGGTGCTCACAGCCCCAGCAACTCACCCAGCCTGGTTCTCAGGCCACTGTTTCCTGCCTCCTCCTCTTAGCCTCACTCTCTTTTGATTGTGTTTTGTTTGTAAATTTCAGACCTTCCTGAGCTACACCAGGGCTGGCTCCACTTTCGTGTTCGGGAACAATCTGGTTGACGATGTCTTTGCTTTTAAGGTCAGTTTGACTCTCGGTCCTAGGTGTCTGCTGCTGCCCAGACACCTCCAGCTGGCAATGTTTTTGCTATATTTGGTAACATTTGCAAAAGTAAGATATTGCTGTATTCTTTTCCTTAGAGATGAACCCCAAGTTATAGAATTGCTGGGAGGCTGAGGACAAGGAGCAGGGGTTGGGGGTCTGTTCTGGTCCCCTGCTGAGACCTCAGCCCTGACGTGCCGCCAGAACTCTGAGCCTGTGAACAGTTTCCAGGACACTTAGGCTCAAACCATCCTCTTCTTTATAGGCCTCTCAAGGCCACCTCCACCAGGAAGCCCCCCCTCATTAATGCAGCTGCAAATACAGCTCCTCATCTGAATCCTCCTACACCCACAGTCCCTTTCTCTGTCCCTCTTTCCTCCCTTCCGTCCAACACAACTTTATCATGCATTTGATGCACTGTAAACTATGATAAGCGAAATTAAGGCAAAGGCACTGTCTTGTTTCAGAGACCATGTTGTCTAATGGCAGAGCCTGAGTCCTAAGTCAGAACAGTGCGGCCTGTCTGTGCCGCTGCTGTGACCTGCCACACTGTCCTGGGTGGCCTGTGGCTGTGTTTCTTCTCTCTCCAGGCAACTGCTCAAGTGCCTAATGCCATCTTTAGTGAGAACCCTTTAGCGTGGTCTTCCTGTACCTGCCTCACACCAAAACTGTCTAAGACCCTGAGGCTGCTCCACGCCTGGGCTCCACTTCCCAGGTAGAGAGAGAGACCAGGGACGCCGCTCACTCTGCACTGACCCGGAGCCCTACACAGGGAAATCAGGGCTGCCCGCCCTGGACTCTCCAGGACCACTGTGACCATGGAACTGCTGTGCGGGACTAAATGCACAGGTTCTAGAGGTTTCTGCTTTTAATCATTGCTCTGGCCACTGTTCCCAGAGCCTCCCCACCCTGCTGGGCACAGGAGTCCTTTCAGCCTAAGCCATGGACTTGGCCACAGACTTCTGGGCTGGTGTTGAGCCACCCGTGAGTCCAGACCCTCCTGCCTGCCCTGACCCTGACCTCTGGCAAGATCCCCTGGGAGCCTCAGTATCTGTGTGCCAGCAGTCCTGTGGGGAACATCCAGGCCATCACTGGGTTCTAACAGTCTCACCCTAAGAAGAAGGAAGGGGACTGGTTCCATCTTCTAAAGAGTTTTCTTGCCCCCAGGGACAAATTTTGCCATCATGTCTCTGAGACTAGTTCTGTGTAGAGAGGATATTGGGAGGGCCAGCCTCTGTCAGTCCCCAAAGGTCCCCTAACACCATGGCCTTAGGGTGATGGGGACCTGCACCCTCCACATTTGCATACCAAGTAGGGAGGCCACCCATGCTTTCAGGGAGAGCAGCGAAGATCTGCTTCGGCCTGACTTCTTGTGTCCGCCCAGACAGAGAAGCTCCAGGAGCTCCTCACACTTAAAAATACACACACACAACGCTGCAGTTCACCCTCGCAGGCCGCTGGATTCAAGTGCAGTAAGACAGGTCCAAAGGACAGTGCCTGGGGAGTGGCTCTAGGGAGAGGTTGTTTTCAACAAGGGATAGTGAGGAAGCTCTTTGAGGAGGTGGCATTTGACATGGAGCTCCAGGGCAGAAAAGATTTGGACACACGGAGCTAGGCAGGAACGGGACACAGTGTGGGAACGCATACAGCTGAGGGTGTGCTGGGGTGTCCATGGCACAGGGCATGGGTCAGCTTGACGGGCATGTGCGCTGATTCCCAAAGGGAAGTGAAAGTCTAGTTAGCCACAGAAGCTGGCAGAGAGGTGCTGGCCAGGCCACGCGGCTGATGTCCATGGGGACCCCACCCCGCTTCTCTCCCTTTCCAGCAGGGAACTGTCACTTTTCTTGCCGCTGTGTCTGCTCCCTTGCCAGTGAGCTGTGTTTCCTTCCATTTTCCTCCCCTTCTGGAAGAACGTGCGCATACCTGCTACTTGCCTCTTGCCCCGAATCACCCTTCAGGACCATGAATTCCTGGACAGTTAGTCACAGGAGGGAACCCAGGGGTCTTTGGGTCTCCTCTTGTATTGCGATGGTCCCAGCAAATGCCAGAGAGGAGCAGAGAGCCGGCCACAATCACCAGTGAGTCAGGGCAGAGCCAGCGCCAGCCCCCATCCCTGGACTTCTAGGCAAGGGATGTTTTCTTCCTTGTCTTGTAAGTAGGAACCAGTGGCCTCATGTCTCTCCTTCAAACACAAAAAGTTGGGTGTGGTGGTCTGTGCCTGTAGTCCCAGCTACGTGGGGTGCTCAGTGGCAGGATCTCTTGAGCCCAAGATTTGGAGTCTAGCCTGGGCAACATAGTGAGGCCTTCTCTGAAAAAGAATGTTTCCCTACATAACAACAATAATTTTAAAACATATTAATGGTGGCAAAAGACTTTGAGACTATGCATTTGAGAGAGAAATAACAGTGAGTGGGTTCATCATTAACCGGCCTCAGCATTTCCCAGCCATTTCCTGGCGCCTGGGAGGCCCTGGCCCTGGACAGATTCCTGGCCAGTGTGTTGGCCAATGGCCTTCTCAGCAGTGTTGGGCCAGATGCAGGAGGATTGAAAATAAGTGTTCCACAGCCACAGAATTCCCTTTCTCATGACTTACAGTTTTAATCACACTCCCCCCATATGACACACACACACACACACACACACACACACATACAAATGTGCGTGCGCACACACGCTGGGGCTTTGTCCTCAAGGCACGGGTGGCTTTGTTGAGTGCTCAGTTCTCTCTGTTCTTTCCGTAAATCATAAGGACCTAGTCCAAGGCCTCTGGCCAGTTTCAGCCCGGGGAATTCTTCTCTGAGCTTGCTGGGATTTTCAGAATCCAGCTGCTTCCTGCTGGTCCCACTCGTCTCTGCTGGAGGAAGTAGCGTCTCTCCCTGGGGCTTCTCCGGCCCCTTCGCCTACCTGGGCCTGGAGTCCAGCACAGTGGATTGGCAGCCACCTCCTGGCCGTGTCCGCTGGGTTAGTCGCTCCAGCTTGGCTCCGTCTCCCTCGTAGTAACGTCCCACCACACAACCCCCAGCCCAGCCCCACGTCCTTCCTGGCCCGCTGTCCTGGGAGCACACTCGCTCCTTCCTGCACTGTCGCTCCACCTCTGCAACGGGCACTGGAGCTGCTCGCCATTGCCGCTCAAATCCTATCCCTGAGCAAACCCCAAGATGAAGGAAGAGGTTTTCAGCTCCTGAGGGTTTCAAGGTGTCTGCCTGGCACAGACTGCAGTGCCAGTGGTTAAGAAAGCCAGAATTTGCACACAAGGATCAAATAAGATAAGGTCTGCAAGGCACCGCTGGCTTTGGTAATGAAGGAAGGGGTCACATGTAACCTTGTTCAGGGAGGAAATGGGGTGGAATGGCTGGGGAGGGAGAGGGGACAGTCCCAGCAGGAGAGATTTGCTGAGCACTAGGCATCTTGGCAGAGACAGGCATGAGGGGCAGAGTAAGGTGGTTCAGGGCGAAGAGATGGGACAAACAGGAAACCAGGGGCATGTCCAGGGGACAGTCAGGGTTCCAGCTCATCTGGACTTGGAGTCTTTTATGTTTTTTGGTGATGGTGGTGTGGCATCCCCCTTCACAGGTTCCTGGCATCAAGCGATCCTCCCACTTTGGCCTCCCAGAGTGCTAGGATTACAAGCATGGGCCACTGTGCCCAGCCACTTGTGTGTCCCTTGCCTCTACAAGATCACACATAATGCTCCACATCTTTTTAAGTGTTTTAGAGATGTCGTGTCCCTGTGTTGCCACCTGGCCTTGAACTCTGGGCTCAAGTGATCCTCCCACCTTAGCCTCCAGAGTGGCTGGGACTACAAGCGTGCACCACCACGCCCGGCTGCCCCCTATTTTTTACTCACATGAGAGCACAGCACACACCCTGTTGTACAGCTTCTTTTTTTCCTTCTGATAAACTGCCTTGGGAATCATTCCTCAAGGGCCCATAGAGCTTTCTGACTCTTGTTACCTGACTTTCAGTGCACCATTGTATGGTTATTCCTGGCTTATTAAACTAGTCCTCCAGCAGAAGACATTTCAGTTTTTACCAGGTTGTTGTTCTAAATCAGATTGCAGGGGCAAAAAGGACTAGGGTACGGTGTTGGGGCTGGGAAGGAGGGAATGCACATGAAAGAGATTTGAAGGGAAACCAATGAATGTTGGAGTGAATGAGGAGCAGTGCTGAGCCCGGCACTAGGGACCGGGTGACAGGAGGAGGTGCTGGCTGCAGGTGTCGGATGAGTCTGCTTCTAGCTTGTTAGCACTGAGTGGACGTGGAACACCGAAATGATGCGGGTTCCCTCAGTCAGGCTTAATGCAGAGGACGGGGATTAAGACTAGGGGGCAGAGGCCAGGGATCAAGCTCATGCTGGAGGACAGACAGTGCAACCCTCACAGCATCCCTGAGAGGGGAGCATGTTACCCCATTTACAGACAGAGAAGCAGGGGTGACAGTGGTGCCTCAGGCCCCTCCCATCATGGCGCAGGACTGTGTGTGGTGAATAGGGGCAGGGATGGCCTGGTCATTACTGGTAGGGGAACAGAGAGGGCGGAATTGCCTCAGAGAGGCCCCATCAGTGGAATAGCTGGGATTTCATGCACTGAATTCAGGCTGCCTCCTTGCTCCTGTGAGGCCTCTGTGTGGGCTCTCTGGGGCTCCTGGGCCCTGCCTGCCTCTGACCGGGGTCCTGCACTCTCTTTCCCCCAGGTTCTGCCCATCATTGTTTTCTTCAGCTGTGTCATGTCTGTTCTCTACTACTTGGGCCTCATGCAGTGGGTGATCCTGAAGGTGAGTCCCAGTGCCCATGACCCTGGCTCCCCCAGAGTCACCAGCTCCAGGGGTCACTCTGTCCCAGAATGCCTTGCTTCCAGAGCCTAGCCCTTCCCCACATACCCTGCTCCGAGGCCCATAGCCTTTCACAGTCTCCTGCTGACCAAACTCCCTTTCACAGGGTCTCTTGTCATGACACTAAGGAGAAATGGTACTGAAATCCAGTGTGGGCTTTGTGGGAGGAAAGGTTGCAGTCTTGAGGCTGCACTGAGAAGGTTTAAGAGAAAGAATAATTTATACCAGAAAGATCTTGAGAGACTGTAGCAGTGGGCTACACTGGCCAGAAGGAGCCTGTACAAATGTCACATCTGTGCTTATGTTGTAAAGTCTACTGTGCAAAACCAGCATGTAGGAGACAGCACTGGACGGCCTGGGCCTGGCAAATGATGCTGAGGTGGCAGCTGATCAAGCTCAGAACAAATGAGCACCATCAGATGACTCCCAGGAATTCAAATACAGCCTTGGTCATTGTCACTGTCTTAGTTCCTTTCCTGTTGCTAACACAGAATCCCACAGACAGGGTACTTTATACAAAATAAGAGATTTCTGTGGCTCCTGGTTCTGGAGGCTGGGCAGGCCCAGAACACGGCGCTGGCATGTGTCCAGGGCCTCCTTGGTCGCCCTGACGTGGTGGGAGGCGGAGTGAGCAGCGAGACACAGAGAGAGTGGAAACCACACTGATCCTTTTCTCCAGGAGCCCCCAGTCCTATGATAACCAGCCCAGCCCCAACAGTGGCATCGATCCATTCACCAGAGCACAGCCCTCATGACCCAGTCGCCTCCTGAAGGTCATACCTCTCTACACCATTACCATGGCAGTCAGATGTCAACATGAGTTTTGGTGGGGACATTCAAACCATAGCAGTTACGTTAGGAGCACACACTGCATAGCATGAGGGAAATGGCCGTGCCCAGATCCGGAGAATGTATTCCACCAAGGGGCTGTGACAAACTGAACTCTAGGGAGGAGCATGAATGGGCTTGCTCCTGGTTTCAGCCACAGAGTGGCTGAAGAGGAGGAAGGTGAAGGGCCTGGAGAGGAGGAAGGTAGGGTAGGACAGCTGTGTATAAATACTGACAAGGAGAGATTAGGGAAAGGGCAGCCTGAGATGTACAACATGAGAGAGAAATTCCAAAGAAGCAGATTTCATCGTGTGTGTGTGTGTGTGTGTGTGTGTGTGTGTGTGTGTGTGTGTGTGCGTGCACGCACACAGTAATTCTCAATTTTCAAATATATTTGGCCAGGGAACGCTTTTTGTATGGAGACAGAGAGCACACATGTTAGAAGCTCTGCTTTAACGACTGGAGCTGTGCTAAGGTGGGCTGGGTGGCTTGGGAAGTGGAAACCACCCTCAATGCAGGTGTGGAAGGAAAAGATGAATTGACCTTCTGGGGACATGTGGCAGGGGGTCCCACACTAGGCCGGGTGTTGGAAGGAAGACGAGTCAGGTAGTTTCATCTGACTCTCTCTACCTCTGGGGTTTGTTGATGTCAGCCCAGAAAGAGCACCTTGCTTCCTTCCAGCTTGCCTGGCTGATGCAGGTCACCATGGGCACGAGTGCCATTGAGACCCTCAGTGCGGCTGGAAACATCTTTCTGAGCCAGGTGGGTATCACAGCCTCCTGCCCGCATGCTTGTCAGCAGCTTCCCCAGAGAGGCCAGGTTCTCTTGGTCCCTGGAGCTTCGGTGCAGATTGAGGATGAGCCATTTGAACCTTCTCTCAGGGTCCCCAAAGGCTGTTCTCCCAGGAATGCTCCATTTGGGGGACCCATTTGCCTGGGTCATGCCAGGGAGGATGCCATCTGTCTGGCACCTCCTACCATTCTAGCTGCCTTATCAGCTTAGAGACTCACAAGCCTGTATCTGTAGATACAGTCCCATCACTCATTTTATACATGGGGAAACTGAGGCTCTGAGGTGGGACTCTGAGGTGGGAATGACTTGGCCAAGATCCCACAACCATAAACCGGGGCTTAGCATCCCAGTTTTCTCTTTCCTGGCCCATTTGTTCCACTACATCATCTTGTCTTGTCTTTTCTCTGTCTCTTTAAAAAGTATTTTCCAAAGTAAATGTGACTCTGAAGACACCTTGAGTCCTGAGTCCCTTTCAGAAGGGCTGACCCTCCTGAGGGTGAGTGTCTGCAGACTGTTCCAGAATCTGTCCTGTCCCATCTGCCTAATATTTGAGCCACCAAGAGACACACTTGCCACAAGATGCCATATTTCATGGGACAGTTTAAGAAACTTTCGAGAATATTTGCATGTTTTTTAAAGTTAAATTTATTTTTGCTTTTGTTTTAGAGATAGGATCTCACTCTGTCACTGAGGCCTGAATGCAGTGGTGTCATCATAGCTCACTGCAGCCCTGAACTCCTGGCTCAAGTAATCCTCCCACCTTGGCCTCCCAAAGTGCTGAGACTGTATGTGTGAGTCACTACAGCCACCCATTTGTATCTTTTTTTTGTTATGATGCAAGTGTGTTAATTTCAAAGGGTTTTTGGTGGTTTTTGTTTTTATTTTTAGCTAATTAAGACAGATGTGCTCTCAGATTAATTAGCCAAAACTCCCTTAAGCAAAAGAAAGGGATATTAAAGTATGACAGCACTTATTTTGTGTGAAAAGCTGCAATGTGCTCACTGGTTTTAGCTGAGAAAATAGGTAGGTGAATGTGACACTGGGTGACATGAAGACCCCCCAAGGTAACCTAACTCTGCACAAGCTGTTGGTCAAGCAGAACTAGACCCAGATCTTCACCGTATGCCCCCGGGGGACACCCTGGGGAGCCTTCCTGGTGCAGTGGCATCATTTGAACATCAAAAGCTGAGGCCAGGTCTGCCGTCCTCCCACGCACCCCCTCTCTGGGCTGCACCGCCCCAGAGTCACAGCTCACACTCCTGCTCTTCAGTCCTCACCCCTGTCCTGAACTCTCCACTGAGGCGGCCACCTGACTCCTGCCCCTCCTCTCGGATAGCTAAGGGGCAGCTCACATTTGACATGCTCAGTCCAAGCAGACAGAACCTTCCTTCTCTCCTCACACCTGCACCTCTCCAAGATTTTCCTTCTCAGTAAATGCTAGCACCTTCCATGAGGTTGTTCAGACAGATCTCAAATAGCCCCCTTCCTTCCTCTGCCTCCCTGACTCCATGCATCACATGAGTCCTGCAGCGCTGCCTCCAGGTGGCATCCACAGCCGCCCTGCTACCCTCCTCCCTGTTCTCCCTGCTTCCATCCCCCACCCATGCTGTCAGTCCTTACCCTTCCAAAGCACATGGCGCCACTCCCCACTAGAACCAGTGCACTCCTCACCTGCTTCCCAGCCCTGCCGTGGCCCTACCTTCCTCTGCCTCCATGGGAACCTGCGCGCAGTCACGTGTGTGTCTGTGGCAGACATGCAGGCCTGCTGTGCTTCCTCACCTCGCCAGGCCCATTCCTGCCTCGAGCCTCTGCTCTTCACTCTGCCTGGGTGCTGTGCTCCCAAATCCTGCGGTTGGCTCCTTCAGCTCTTAGCTAACCTGGACCCAGGGTCACTTCCCCGGGGAACCCTTTGCTGATTACTCAATTTTAAATGTCCCTGAAGCACTAGGTGTTCTCTCTCACATATCTTCATAGCTTTTATTAATGTCACCGTCTAATGTGCCACCGCTTATCTTCTTGTTCCTTTGCTGATGAACCATGTCCCCCACCACTGGCTTAAGCCTCCTCCCACTCTCCTAGGCTCCCAGGGTAGAAACTGCACAGGGCAGGGACTTTGTCTTGTTTACCTGGTACCCCTTTTCTGTGGAGCAGGGCCTGGAACACAGTAGGTGCTCAATAACTATGTATTGAATGAATAGTGAAGGCCCGACTGCCCAGTGCTCTGAAGTGAGCACACCATCTAATGTCCCAGCCCCTTTCTTTTTGACCACCCCCAGGGCTTCCTTACAGCTCAGGCCTGGCAGCTGCTTCCCACCCCTGTGCGGAGCGGGGCTCATTCTTTGAGCTTCTCTGAGTCTCCATTGCTTTGCTGGGAAGTGGGAATGACTGTTGCTGTCTCATAAGGTTGTGAGTGATGGCAGTAAGGTGCTTAGTGGGTGCTGGCACATGGCAGGCCTTTGGCACAGTGTCACCGTGACCTCTCCACTCCTGGGGCAGGGGGAGGTGGAGGGAGTGCCCAACTACTCCAGTTCTGCTTGTCTGACATCTTTCTCTTTGCAGACAGAGACTCCTCTACTAATCCGGCCCTACTTGGCAGACATGACACTCTCTGAAATCCACGTCATCCTGACTGCAGGCTTCTCCACCATTGCTGGCAGCCTGCTGGGTGCCTATATCTCTTTTGGGGTAGGTAGAGGCTCCTTCTGCTTGGCTGTGCCCAGGACCTGAAACCCACCTTTGTGAGTGCCCCACACAGCTCCCTCCAGAGCAGCCCTGGGGTCTGTCTGAGCCTGGAGCCTGGGCTGCTGTGCTGGGGAGAGGACACGTGTCCCCTGGGCAAGGCAGGCCCTGTGGGCTGCGCCATTGGCTCAAAATTCTCCCATGGCCACTGGGGACAAAGACTTCCAGTATTCCACGTATGGAGTGCCTGCTACGTATCAGGCGATGTGCTAGTTACTTTAATATCCATATTTCACAAATGCAGAAATTGAAGCTTAGACAATAAATGAGAAACCCAATGCCAAAATCTGAGCCCAGATCTGTCTGATCACAAAACCCCTGCTCACTTCTCCACAGTCCCATACCAAGGCTGTCCCTGGAGAGCTGCCCTACTCCTTCCCTCCCCGCTGCCCCACACTCTCTGGGCTCAAGTCCTTCCTCTGTTCCTAAATTGTTGCTTGTGCAGCTACTGATCGCATGCACTTCTAGGTCAAACAACAACAGCGTCACCTGGGCACTTAGACCAGTCGAGGTCCTCCTCCTGCGCCGCAGGCAGAGGAACCTGTTGATGGATCCCCGGTGTCTTATACTTCCTTGTGCTCCCACTTGCACATCCCACTTGCTCATGCTTTATACTTCCTTGTGCTCCCATTTGCACATGGGTTTTTTCCTTAACTGCCAAAGAAATTCTTGGTTGGAAAAGTGTCAGTTAAAAATCTGTTTCTTAACCCCACTTCCCATGGGTAAACTGCTTTTAAGAGCTTAGAACCTGTGGTTCTCAAAGTGTAGTCCATGGACTAGCACCATCTGCTCACCTGAGAACGTGCCAGAAATGAAAAGTCTCAGCCCACCCCACACCTGCATAATCAGAAACAGGTGGTTGGGGCCTAGCATGCTGATGGTCGCTCCATTTGCACCCCACTGACTTAAAATATGTCCTTTCAGAGCTTTCTGTGTATCCATTTAAGTACATACACCTGAACACACACACTTGCTTTCTTTTTGGTAAAAGATGAGGTAATTCCACCCATACTTTTCTGCAACTTGCTTTTTTCTTGTAACATTCTGGGCAAGACACAAAATCCAGGGGGACAAAAGAAACAGTTGACAGAGATGACTAATGTAAATGAACAATGTTCTGTGCATTAAAGTCACTGTTTAAAAAATTATTGATCAGGAGAAAACAGTTGCTAAACTATGAAAACATATTCAAGCTCACTGATGTTCAAAGAAATTAAAACAATAATAACTATGTTTTTTCTAAATGATATACAATACTCTATGTGCCTCTAAATGGCCAGGGGTTGGGGTAGTCACTCTCTCGTGGTGGGAGTTTAATTTGCTGTAAGCTTTTTGGAGAACATCTATCAGTCAATTTTTAAAAACTTTTAAAATTACAGTTTATTTTTTATACATGTATCAGTCAATTTAGAAATAGTCCTTCCCTTTCGTCCAGTTAGGAATATTATGATACAGAAATATTCTCCCAAGTGTTCAAACAATGCAAAATTTTGACATTATTTTTTACTGTGAACAAAGGAAAGCCAGAATGTCCTGCAGGTGGGGATGAGCTCGGCAAGTTACACCCTGTGTGGCAATGCCACTGAGCCCCGAAGAGAAGATACTTGGTTTGGAGAAAGACCCTGACCTGCCTGCGCCTGTCCCCTAGGCTCTCCTGATGCTGTGTGTGTGGGTGGGGACCACAGAATGACCTGGGTTTCCCCCTTCTCTGGTCCCAAGTTCCACCTGTCTCTCTCATCTCTGTCCCTGATGGTGGCCGAGTGGTAGGTATGAAGACAAGCCAGGCTACTCCTCAGACTATCTTTCACTCAGGACACCTGGGCCACATCAAGATGTTCAGCTCCACTCCCCACAGGGCTGCCTGGGCAGAGCTGGCAGCTATGAGACTTTTCAAAAAGGGCCCCTTGCACACTGGGACTCTGGTTTGATGTTTCAAAAATTGAAACCAAAACTTTGTTCCTGAAACGTTTTTCATGGTAGAATATTGGGGAAGACAATGCCATAATATTTTTGGATCTCAGGTTTTTTAAATGTCTTTCCTTGTTTTGGTCCCTACAATTACAAAAGCATACCTTTGGTATTCTTCCTGATGCAAAAGCATCAGTGGCTCCTAGCCATTACTTAAAACCAAAATACTGGAAGAACATTCTCCCTTTCTATGCTCTGGCTTTATACCCAGCCTCCTTCCTTCCCTTTCTCAAGCCAGAGTGCAGGCCCAGCCCTGGGCAATCTGGCCTCCCCAGGGACAGAGCCTGGGAACCTACTTCCCTTTAGCTGCAGGGAATGTGCAGAGGTGGCCAGGGTCAGTTGTGTGCCCTTGGGCCTGCACTCACAGCCTCTGGTTTGGAAGCCTCAGGCTACAACATAGCTGGCCCAGGGGGAGAGCCTGGAACAGGTCTTCCTCCCCTCCTCCCCTCCTGCCCCTGGATCTGCCCCTAGTCTCGTCTGCAGAGAAGCTCTCTTCTGCCCCCACCTGGCTCTTGGCCACCACTGCAGCACCCTGCCTTCCCACCCTCTCCCCTCTGTCCTTTACCTCCTGCCCAGTCAGGTCCTCAGTGTCCTTGGCTTTGCCCTCAGCCCCTGAATCCCAGAGAGTCCCTCGTGTTCTCTCCTCCAAGCTCCCAGATTCTTAAGACCTTCCACTTTATCGTACAACCTCTGGCTTCCTTTGCCCCGCACGCCTCCTATTGTCTGGATTTACTCCCTTTCTCAGCAGAGATCCCTTTGAAAATTCAAGTGGGGCACTTGAATTTACCCTTGATCCTTCTCCACATCGGACACCTTTAGGTGAGAGAGAGGAGAGCAGTGGCAGGAGGGGGCTCTAGGGTGCCAGGACAGAAGGCATTCCTGACCGGGTGCCTAGAGGCAGGGCTAGGGGATGTCACGGCCTTGCAGAGTAGCTGGTTGGGGAGGCTGGGTGTGGGCAGACCCAGAACCCAGGGCACCCTCCTGTGCAGCACTCAGCCTTTTCCACAGGGAGCAGAAAACAACTGGCTGCAGCATTTGAGGCTGTGGCCACCACTAGCTGACTCAGAGGACAGTGTCCAGGGATGTGACAACTGCACAGTATGATCCACACTGGGACTCAAGGTTACAAACCAAATATAATCTATAAGCTAGAAGAAGAGTCCTGGCTGGTGGAGGGAAAAGTCCCAAGATTCCAGGTGTGGCACTGTCCCCACTAGATCTTGGCAACTGAGAAGGCAGGTGAAGTCCCAAAGCCCAGCCCAGACGGTGCAGACAGGACACCGCCCAGCTGGGCTTCATCCAACAGGGAGCAGGACCCGGGGCCTGCACACCTATCAGGCTGTCGCTGGTTCTTGTGCATGTTTTAAGGAATTTCTGTTTATCCCTGGAAAGAACAACTGGGGTTTAGGAAAGGAAGAAGGACGTTCCATGGGTTTCTGAGACTGGGAGGGTTTCCCACTTGGCTTCTCATTGGCAGGTCCTGGTACTTCCCTGGGGCGATACTGGGATATCTCTTGGGCTTCTGCCTTTGCTTTTATCAGCCTGAGCATGGACTTGAACTTGCCTCCTCCTTCTTCACCTTTTTATTTAAAATTGGAGAATGAGGCTGGCTTATTAAAAACTTTAAGGAGGACAAGTCTATTTTACTATCATAAAAATGATATATAATATTGTGGACATTTTGAAAGATACTGAAAAGCAGAAAGAAAAGAAAATCACCCCTGGCCCTGTTACCAGGGACAGCTAGTTTGTTGACATTCCAGTGTATTCTTTCTGATTTTCTTTCCTTGCATCACTTGGGGTTTGTTTTCTCCCCCATTGTCTTGGTTATTCTCTGTGTGCGATTGTGCAGGCACTTGCCTGTATTATCACGAGGCTTTGAGAACCATCATTGTCAGTGGCAGCCTGACAGCGTGTAGCCGTGTCCTGTTGTTAGATGTTTGAGTCGGTTCAAATTTCCCCACTCAGTAAATGACACAATGGTGGGGAAAGTTAAAGTGCTGGGTCTACCTCTGTGGAAGAGAACAGGGAAGCAAAGGGCTTGGGGTCACAATGAGGATAAACGTTCAGGAAGGAGAATGCAGGAGTAGTCCCAGAGGCTGACCCAGGGACAGAGGATGGCTGTTGTAGGCGGCAGATTTCCTGGGAAACAGTTCTTTAACTGCAGGAGTGGTGTGATGGATGGCCTTGAGGTGGCGAGTTCCCCGAAAGAGTGAGCATTCAAAGCCAGATCCTATAGAGGGAGTACAATTCTTGCACTAGGACATGACCTACGCTAAGGTTGAATCGAGTTACCTCTTAAATCCATCTCAACTATCAGTTCTAGAGGTTTGTTGGAAACCGTCACAAAACCCTCAGCTAAGAGAGAAACCCAGCTGATGGGGATTAGTGGTCAAAACACAGACAGCTAAAAAAACTTCCTAAAAAGGAAAGAACAACCTTGAACTTGGAGTCAAAAGATGTGATGGGTTCTAACGCCATATCTTCTTTTTTTGGGGGAGTCATATTTAATTGGCTCGGGCCTAAGTTTTCTCATCTGTAAAATGTGGATAACAGCACTTGTGCTACCTAATTTAGGGAAGTACTAGGAGGAAATATGAGTCCTGCACATACAGCCTCTGACCCTCTATGCATAAAAGGTATTGTTATTAGCAATGATGACAGCCAGCAGTAATGACAACAAGGACATACCAGTGGGGAGACTACACATCTTCCCCTGCCACCTTGGGCCTCAGTCCTTGGCCCCCAACATTTCTTGACCATCTGCCTATCACCCCCACTCTCACTCTTGCAGATCGATGCCGCCTCATTGGTTGCTGCATCTGTGATGGCTGCCCCTTGTGCTTTGGCCCTCTCCAAGCTGGTCTACCCGGAGGTGGAGAAGTCCAAGTTTAAGAGTGAGGAAGGAGTGAAACTGACCTATGGGTGAGCACAGCAGGAGGCCTGCAGAGGCGGGGGTGGTTGTGGGGGGAAGCATAGGCTGAGGATCCTTTTCTCTCTGCCCATCACTGTCCTCCACCAGCCAGGCCCGCCTGTCCTTGTCCACTGCCCTGGTTGTGGCTGAGTCCATTCTCTGTTGCTTGTAACAGAATGCCTGAAACTGGGTCATTTATAAGCCAAGGGAATTTATTTCTTACATTTATGGAGGCTGAGAGGTCCAATGTCAAGGGGCTGCATTTGCTGAGAGCCTTCTTGCTGTTGGGGACTCTCAGCAGAGTACTGAGATGGTTCAGGGCATCATGTCGTGCGGGGACTGGGGTGCAACCTGCTAGCTAAGGTCACTCTTCCTCCTCTTATGAAGCCACCAGACCCACTCCCCTGATAACCCATTAATCCAAAGTCAGTGTCAGCCCCCATGACCCAGTCACCTCTCAAGGCCCCACCTCTCCATACTGCCACACTGGGGAGTAAGTTTTGACATGAGTTTCAGAGGGAACAGAGAGACATTCAAACCACAGTGCTTGCAAACATGCAGACTGTACTTCCCACAGGTAATTTCCACTCTCTGAGCAGAAGGAAACAGTGGAGTGGTCAAGGCTTGGGAGTGTGGCCTGGTTTTGGGGGTGTGGCCTGGGGTCTGCGTATGTCTGTCATAAAATGCCTTCTCGCCACCTCCTCCACATGCCTGAGCCCTGACCACCAGGTGTGAACCACATATTGACGTATTCCGTGCTGTCTTTGATTTCACATGCCTCCCTAACATCTCTTCATCACAGTCTTAACCACTGTTGTGTAACATTTAATCCTTAAAAAATGTTGAAAATGCACCCTGTGGACAAATGTGCTTGGGGACACAGTGGGCAACCCCTTCACAACCTCCTGAGGCTCCAGAGCAGAGCTGTCCCATGGAAAGATTACATGAGCTGCATCTGTCATCTTTGATTTTCTACTAGATGTCTTTTAAAAAGCACAAAGAGTGCCAGGTGAGGTGGCTCACACCTGTAATCCTTGCACTCTGGGAGGCTGAGGCTGGAGGATCACTTGAACTCAGAAGTTAGAGACCAGCCTGAGAAAGACCTCTTCTCTATTAAAAGTAGAAAAATTAGCTGGGCATGGTGGCATGTGCCTGTATTCCATCTACTGGAGAGGCTGAGGCAAGAAGATCACTTCCGCCCAGGATTTGAGATTGCAGTGAGCTATGATGAGCCACTGTACTCTACACAGGGCAACAGAGCCAGACCCTTTCCTAAAATAAAAGAAAAAAAAAGGAAAGAAGAGAAAAGACAAAAGTATAACCAAAATATTGTAATGTTGAAATGTTAAGTAGACCTTTTCTTTTTTTTTAACAGTCTCATAAGAAGGACAAAGAAATGGGGGATTTTAATAAGATATTTCACTTAAGCAAATATACCCCAAATATTCTCATGTCAATGTAAAAATTTTATATTTCAATAAATATGAAACTTATTGAAATATTTTACATTTTTGATACTAAATCCACAAAATCTGGTGTGTATTTTACATTGATAGCACAAGTCAGTTTGAACCTGCCTCCCTTCTAGTGGTCAAAAGCCACATGTGGCTAATGGCTTCCGTGTGGGCCAGCACCATGCTAGAAACCTGGGTCTTATCCCAGGGCTTTGACCAGCCCCTCTCTTGCGCTCCAGGTCTCAGAGGGACAACAAGGGTCTTCTGGCTTTGAAGTATTCTCTCTGTCCAAGGTTTCTCTGTGAGCCAGTAGGACGGAGACCCTTGCCGTTTGTGGGGACAGGCCAATAATGATTGCTTTTGATCGCAACAACAGAGATGCTCGGAACCTCATAGAAGCAGTCAGCAGTGGAGCCACCATCTCAGTGAAAGTGGTCAGTAACATTATTGCCAACCTGATTGCGTACCTCGCTTTGCTGGCCTTCATCAACTCTGTCCTCTCCTGGCTGGGAAACATGGTGGACGTCGACGGGCTCAGCTTCCAGGTGTGAGTCCAGCCAGCCTGCTCAGCCCTTGGAGGGGATGGCCTCGAGTGGGCAGTGGCCTGGGCCCAGCACAGGGTCCCAGCCATGCCTCTTGTCCTCACGCCCTAGCTCATCTGCTCCTATATCCTGCGGCCTGTGGCCTTCCTGATGGGCGTCTCCTGGGAGGACTGCCCTGTGGTGGCTGAGCTGCTGGGGATCAAGCTGTTTGTGAACGAGTTTGTGGCCTATCAGGAACTGTCCAAGTACAAGCAGCACCGCCTGGCAGGGGCTGATGCGTGGGCTGGCACCAGGAAGCAATGGATCTCTGTGAGTGTCTCCTTCCCCTCCCTGCAGCCTGGCTCCCTGGGCCTGGCTGAGACACACTGAAGTGGCACTTAACCTGCCACATACTATGGTCCTGGGAAACAGGATGGCTTTGGGCTTTGCTGCCATCTTTCTTGGGGCCTCTTAGGAGGCCGAGATGCACGTGTGAAGAAAGAGCCTTGTTTGAGATCGCTGAGATCTAGCTTTAGGTGGGCCACTCGCTGTGGCATTGGGCCATGTGCTGCACCTTGTCCCTTCAGTTGGCAAACAGGGTGTAATACCTGCCACATCCACCCCGAAGGCACATGCGTGAGCTTCCGATGACCCAGGAGAGGGAGCAAGACAGGCAGACTCGCCATCACCTTCCCCGCTAATATACTGTGTTCAGTCCGGGTTTTGGCTCTTCTGGTTAAAATTTATTTTAACAGCCCTCAGAAGCTCTATAAAATTAACCTATTTAAATGAATGCAAGTTCGAGGAACATTATTGAGAATGAAAAAATTACCTGTAACCTCACATCCTAAAATAACAACTGTTGTTCTCTACATTTTCTTCTATTCTTTTTAAGAGAGCGTTTACATTGTTGCCGTTAGAGCATCCACACTGGGTTGCAGCCAGCTCTTTTTCTTTACTTACTGTCATGACTTAAGCATCATTTTCCATATATGGAACCTAACATATCTAACACATCCCCTGCTGTTGGGCCATTCAGGTTAGTTCCATTATTTGACCATTATCTATCGTGTTGAAATGAACTTCTTTGAACATCTTCCCTTTTCCCAGATCATTTCCTCAGAAGCTGTCCCAGATGTGGGCTGCTTGAGTCACACATGAGTCCTCTGCAGTTGCTGCCAGGAACTTCCCCAAAGGGTGGCAGCAGCTGACACCATCAGCTGAAATCACAGGACCCAGCTGTGCATTTTGCTTCACCACACATGAAACAGCATTCAGTAGCCTCTTTGTGAAAACCAGTTTTGCTACTTTAATAAGCAAATAATAGCTTGTTGTGTTAATTCAAATTAATGGGTGACTGGAAAGTCTTAATAGGAAATATTTTTCTTGACTTTTTGATTATTTTTTAAGTGATAAAAAAATGTAGTGTTTAGTTAAGATATAGTCTGTGTGAAGTACAAAACACAAGTTTCCCCTCACTCCTTTCCCTCAGCCCTGGTCTCACCCCTACCTCAGAGGTAACAGCAGGCACATCCCTTGGCGGTCTTTTTTATGAACTTAGTCCCTTCAGTAGGGTGTCTGTTAAGAACACTTAGGTGATGGCCACTGGGGATGAAAGGGGCAGTTAGGCTGGGCATGGTGGCACATGACTGTAGTCCCAGCACTTTGGGAGGCTGAGGCATGAGGGTCACGTGAACTCAGGAGCTTGAGGTTGCTGTGAGCTATGATGACATCATTGCACTCTAGCCTGGTGACAGAGGGAGAACCTCCCTCAAAAAAAGAAAAAAAAAAAAAAAAAGGAAAGAAAGAAAAAGAAAAAGCCAGATGTGGTAATTAGACAGACATGGTCTCTGTCATGGAACTTACATCTAGTGAGAGACACAGATAATACAAGAAAGTGAAGGAATAAAAGATAACCACAATTTGTGGTGAGTTCTATGAAGAAAACAAGAAAAAACAAGGAAGCGTCTTCCTTGGTTGACCTGGTCAGAAGAGGCCTCCCTCAGGTGTGGCATTTAGGCTAAGACTTGGAGGAAGGAGACGGGGCCATCCAAGAGCAGCTGTGAAGAACATTCTAGGCAAAGGAAAAGGCATGTGCAAAAAGCATGTGGTCTGTCTAGGGAACAGAGAGGGGATAAGCCCAGCTAGAGCAGGGGGTAATTGTAAAGGAGAGTGGCAGAGGAGTCGGAAGTTACTGAAGATTTGACATTTTGCATTTTAAGATCCCTGGGGCTGCTATAGGGAGCACAGCTGTAGGTGAGAAAGCTGGGGTGCAGGTGCCTTCATACTTTCCCAATAATCTTTATATGCACTCTTTATGTTATAAAGACATTAGCCCTTTTGTTATATTTCCTATCTACATTTTTCCTAATATTTTTTCCCTTCTTCATTTTGTATAAAGGGATTGGTTTTTGTTTTTAAATATGGAATCTCTCAGGAATCTGCGAGTCAGCCTTGTGCAGGGGCCGTGCTAACTTGCTTGCTCTGTATCATTCCAGGTTTAGTGAATGTGATGCTAAAGTGAACACAGGCATTTTTGTTACACCAAAGCTTTTCCTTTATGATTGCTTCTATTATTTCTAAACTTATAAAATTATTTTGTAAGTGGTAAATTCCTGAGACTATATGATACACTAGTATCATATCAGCCAGGAGATTTGGAGTCAGACAAGGCTGAGTACAAATTCTAACTCGGCAACCTTCTTGCTGTGTGAACATCCTCAGGTCCCTAAACTTTCTGAGCCTCACTTTGCCCCTTTCCAATATAAGAGCAATAATGCCAGCTTGTAACTATAGTAATTATCTATATTTTCTGTCATTTTATGCTTGAAATATTAATATTTTCTGCTTCAATGATGTAGAATTAATGTTGTATATAGTGTGAGGTATGGACCTAAATCAATTTTTTTGCAAATTGTTTCATTTTGGGACTTAAAACTAATTTCTGGGACATTAAACAGCTGTTCAGAATGAAAGGGAAGAGCTGCCTTATTTAAACACGTGCTCTATGCCTGGCGTTCCCATACATGGGATGATCCTTATGACAGCTCTGCCCGGCAAGTGCCATCATTACCACACTGCAGATGGAGAAGCAAAACCTTGAAAAGGCTGTTGACTTGCTCAAGCTGATACTTAGTGGCACAAACCTGGATGCCAGGTTGGCTGGGCTCCAACTCCCTTACTGTCTCCAGCAGGCCACATTCCCCCCACTCCTGGCATGACAGCACAGTAACCAGAAGCACAGGGCTACAGAGTGTTGGGGACAGAGCTTAGTAGGGCCAGAGTGAGAGGATTAAGCGAGGCAGTCACACCGAAAAGGCTAGTGATTAAGATAAAGGGGTTGAAGGACAGGTGAGAGGTGGGAGTGCAAGGCCTGGGAGGGGGCAGCACAGAGAGCTCAGAGGGCAGGGACACGTAGGATGTGGGTGAAATTAAAGCCAGAGAGGCTGGGTGGTATGGGGGTGCCCCGTCCCATCTGAGGGAGCCCCTCCAGGTTTATCTGTGCATTTCAGGTCAGAGCAGAAATCCTCACAACCTTTGCCCTCTGTGGGTTCGCCAACTTCAGCTCCATTGGGATCGTGTTGGGAAGCCTGAGTGAGTCTCCTGTCCCATGTCCTGGGGAGAGTTGGGGGCCTGAACCTGCTGGGACCTGCAAGCCTCAGTTCCCTCACCTGTCCAAGGCAGGGCCTAAACAAGATGGCCACGGAGGCCATCCCAGCACATGTTGTCCACTGCTAGGGGTTGCCCAGGAGGTCAGCACCTGGCCTTGCAGGGCAGCCTGGCTCAGGACAGGAGGTGTGGTGTGGCTTGTCCCCTGAGGCTTTCGCCTGCCTTCTCCACAACTGCAGTGCACAAGCAGGCTCTGTCAGTTCTCAGCTGTTTACAAAAAGCATTTGCACTCCTCACGGCCACCTGCCTGGTGGCGTAATCATCCCATTTTACAGAGAGGAAACTGAGTCTTGGAGAAGTGCAGTGATGGCCCAAGCTAGTCAGTGGCTCAGCCCGTGTTTAATCCCAGGTGTGCCTGACTCCAAAGTCAGGTTCTTTCCCGGACCTGCCACTAATGGCACGTGGGACATCACCTAGGTGTTCAGGCCAGGCAAAAAGGCTCCCAAAGTCATCTAGCAGCCAAGAGGACAATATCTGTCCCCTGGCCACCCAGAAGCGGAAGGGAGGTCAGCAGACATAGTCAGACCCACAAATAATGGGCAGAGAGGTACGTGGCTTCCTCGGCCCGAGCACTCCTGTTCCTTTGCAGCCTCCATGGTCCCCCTACGGAGGAGCGACATCTCCCGGATCGTGCTCCGGGCACTCTTCACAGGCACCTGCGTGACCCTGGTGAACGCCTGTGTAGCTGGTGAGTGCAGCCTGGTGGGCGCAGGACCTGGGGCGTGAATTTCTAGCTGGGGCTCTGCTCACCAGCTGCTCTCCTCACAGGGATCCTCTACGTGCCCAGGGTGGCCAAGGTCGACTGCACGTCCCTGCTAAACACGACCCTCAGCAGCAGTAGCTTTGAGGTGTACCAGTGCTGCTTCGAGTTCTTCCAGAGGTGAGGGCCAGGCATGGGGCCGTGGGCACCAGTGGTGATGGTATGGGGAAGGGCCCTGTGGCTGGGGATGCCTTTAGCACCAGAGTGAGGGGTAGAAATGTCATTGCTGCAGCTGATGTGGCCAGGGAGCAGAAAGTGAAGGCTTGAGGATCAAATTTGAAGAGGAAGGGTGGACCAGAGATGTGAAGTGACTTTGCCAGGGCTTCACCGCTTGGTAGTGGCCCACAGAGCAGGCCTGGAGCTCACACAGAAACCTCTGCTTTCCTTTCAGTGATGGCCTGGAGTTTGGCCCAAAGGCCCTGAGCAACTGCTGTCAGTTTTACAACAGGACGGTCTGTGCATAGCGGGGACGGACATCCTCTTGCCTTCTGTGGGCTGTTCTTCCCCAGGAAGCACCTGTCCCCATCTTTCCCTTCTAGGCCTCTCCTTATGGAAGCCACAGGGCTTAGAGCCTCAGTCCCACAGTTGGGAATGAAAGCAGCCACCTTGCTGAAGTGACAGGAAACTACCTAATCCCACAATTTCCAACAGTGTGTGCCTATCAGTCATGAACTGTCTCCCTGCTCTGTCTCTGCCTGTCTGGCAGGCACCCTGCAGGGACTCCTGTGCTCACAGCCACCTGGAAGGGCCCAGCGGACAGAAAGGGAGAGCAGAACTTTCTCTTTGTATCGCCAGAATCTGCTTTTTGATTTTGTGTTACAGCCTCCAGGTGTTCCCAGGAAGCCCCTGGAGGGACAGCAGGGGGCAGCTCCAGGCCTCAGTTTCCTGCCCCAAACCATATCTCTGGCAAAATCACATCCCCTGCGATGAGCCTGACTACAGCCCAGAGATAACCGGGTCTCCAGGAACATAAAAAGCAGGAAAGATGGGCAAGCTGACATTGCAGACTCCAGCTCATTACTCCATAGCCACTTCTGTTTTAATTGACAGCAGTAACCAATTTTTTTCTTTTTCTTTGTCCCCATAAAATCTTCAGGCCACTTGGCCTGGCTGGTGACACCCCATGTCTTTCTTTGGGATGCCAGACCGTCTCCCTGTTCTCCCTGCTTTCCCTCTCTCACTTTCCTCCAAGAAGATAAAATAACCTTTTTATTTTTATATATCCTAACAGCAGTGTGGGAAATCTTTCTCCATCTGCACCGTGAGGTCCCTGGCCTCCACCCATGGTATGCTAAAAATACTAATATTATCTTAAAATCTATATTGAAGGCTTTATGACATCAAATTCCAATGACTAAAAATGTCTCACCATTCAGTTCACACAAAAATGAACATTTATTTAGCATGCCACTGCACTGGGCAATATAAGTATGAATCTATTTGGGGGCCCCCAACACAAGGCAATGGTCTGCCACTGTGGCAGAATATGTGACACAGGGACTCTTAGAAGTAGGCACTGTGGATAGCAGAAAAGCAGGGTGCTGCCTTGGGAGGCTTACAAGACTCCTACGTGAATTCCAGGACACCGAGCCCACCGCAAAAAGGCCTGTAAGACACATACAGGCATTTTACTTAAAGGGCTACTTTAATAATCTGAAAGTATAATACTAGTTAATACACAATAACCAATGTTAGATTTGGGTCAAAAACTGAAAGCTTGAAAGTTAAAGTTGCCACATTCAACTTAGCCTAGATAATGCTTTTTTTCCCCCTAAGCTAGTTAGGTAGGCTTAATGCACAAGCTTTACACTGATACTAAGAGCAGCCTGGGTTAACAGCCTACCACAAGTTTCTTCAAAGATTCTACAGGAGAAGGAATTCAATTTATGATAATTACAACAAAGATGAGTTTTCACATAGTGTATGAGAGGAGAGGGGAAATCACATCAATTCTGTTAGGCAACACTGAAAAGGACTTTCTCTTTCATATGGAAAAAATATCTTGACAACTGCTAGAAACTTAAAACAGAAAGTAGATCAAGCTCTATCCCTCCAACTTCCCAGGTTTAACATTCCTCAGAAAGCAAGAAAAATCAAGAAAATCTTGCAAATTAAGTCTATTAAAAATTGGTGGTGAGAGGCATGATTTTCAACAATCTGCAGCCATGCACACTAGGTTTTTTATTTTTTAGTAGTTTAATAAAACATAAACCTACACATGAGTTTGAGCTTTACAATTTAAAATCGGAGAACTGGAAAGCTGCTGTGTGCCTTAACGAACCAATTTTTCCTTTTTCGCTTTCTTTTAGAACACTTTAAGAAAGACTAAGCCCAGAAACTTTGACAAAACATAAGCCAAGGCAATATGCGCTGGAGATCACGCACAATTAAAAACAAGTGATAGTAACAGTCACAAAATGTCCCAGTAAGAGTGCTTAATAAAAGGCTTCTTTCTGCTCAACGCTTCAAACATCGGCTTTCGGATAGTATTTTCTAATTACAGCGCTTTGAATGCGGAGCGCTTGCTAGTGACCGCGAACCTCGAATACGCGTGCAATGGAGCAAAGCTGATGCTCCAGATTCCGTCCGTGCAGCCGCAGAGAAAAGGGAAAACTGCGACTGTGCAAAGCTGACAGAGGGCGAACAGAGACGGGGCCAGGACCCGGGCTCAGGGGCAGCTGTCCTTCCCTCCCTGCCAGGGAACGGAAAGAACAAAGTGCGCACTGATTTCACTTTTCAGGGGAGCGCCAGGAGCCCCTGGGGGTGGTCTGCACCGCTAGCTCCCTCTTTGACAGGGGACTGGACTTTGATAAGTGGCGCCACCTCAGGCTCCCGCAGCCCTGCTGCCCGCGGCGTCCTGGTCCCAGGAACCGACCCAGGGGCTTGGCCAGGTTCCCGGACGGGGGTCCGTCCTCCTTGCAGGGCTGCCGGGCCACGCAGGGTGGCCGGCGTCTGTGGAAGCCACCCAAAGGGGCGAAGGGCACCGCGGCAGCAGGGAGCCCGCCCGGCCCCGCCGAATGCTGCCCGCGTTTCCCCGGACGAGAGGCCGCAGCCCGCCCGGCGCCCCTACTTCTTGCCGCTGCGGTCCGAGTGCTCTCACGAGGCTCCGAGTCCGCAGGCTTGGCGGCGGGCCGGGGCAGGGCGGCCGTCCGCTGGCCTTCTGGACGACGAACGGCGGAGGCGGCGCCGCGCACCGGGCGCGACCTTGGCCTCCTTGCCGCCTGTCCACAGCCCGGCTCTGGGAAATGTGGATGCTCTGGGCAAGCTCATGTCAGCGCTGGCTCCTCAGACACGCTGGCCGTCAGCCCCAGTCTGGTCAGCAAAAGGACCGCCTGGCGCCTTGCGTCTGCGCGGGCCCCGTCATCACCAACGGGCGGCTGTGGCGGCGGCGAGCGCAGGTCTCGCGTGAGGAAGCGCGGCAGCTCTTTTACCGCGCTGCGCGCGTGGGGCTGAGGGGGGGGCGCTGGGGCAGGCGGCGCGTCGCGGCCGCACCTCAGTACATGCCCTTCCTGAGGGGGAGCCGCCGCCGCCTCCCTCACATCGCCGTGCTCGCTGTGCGGAAAATTGCGCTCCCCTCACTGGAGCCGGGGAGTCTGCGCTCCCGGAACGCCCCGCAAAGAAGGGAGCTCCCTGCCCCGCCCGGGCGACTCCACCTCACTGTGGACCCACACACCCGCCTGCTGGCCCGGGAGGAAGCCGCCTGTGGCAGCCGTGGGGACGAGGCTAGCCTAGACGCTCCCGCCATTCGGCCGTGAGGCGCGCGGTCCTCAGGACGCCGTCGGGCGGCCAGGCGCGTCCGCTGGAGCGGGAGGGAGCGCCTGGCGCACCGTCGGGCAGCGCAGGAGCCGCTGCGCGCACGCGGAGTCGCGGGTGTGGCTCCCGCTCCGCGATCCGGCGGGCCTGCCTGCGGCTCTCGCGCCGCCCCCAGCGGCCACCTCTGGCGAGCGCCCGCGTCTACGCCAAGCAGCTCGCGCCGCCCCCTGCGACTGAGCGTGCGCGGCGCGGGCGAGGGTGCTTGGCCTGGTCGCCCAGAGAAGTAAAGGGACCTGCTCAGGGACACACAGCCACCCCGGCGCGGGGCCGCCAGACCGCCGGGATGGAACCCTGCTGTGTAACTTAGCAGCTGCGTGCCCTCGCTCAGGTCACTGTATCCGAGCCTGTATCTGAGTCACCTATACGAGGCGGGTGCAAGGACCGCCCTGCGGGTGTGAGCGAGGGCGCCGCGCTCTGTCCCGGCGCGGGTGTGGCGTCTTTGTGGGGAGCCTCGCCTCAGGCTCCGTGGCGTCTGGGCGGCTATGAGGTTAGGCTTCCTGGCAAGGCTGGGGCACCTGCCCTCCGCGTTCGAGACCCCAGAGGCACCTTACTGGCAGGAGCAGAACCGGGGGAGGGGCTGGAGCCTGTGAGCACCTTTGGACAGGTCCTGACACAACACACCGTCCCCAGCTTGCTGTGTGACCTCAGGCCAGTCACTTAACGTCTCTGTGGCTGGGCTCCTCCTCTTCAGCTGGAGGGCGGCTGACCAGGGAACAGGCCACATGAGACCCCTGCCAGCCCTCCTGCCCTCCCTGCGCTTCCTGTCCGTTGGACCCTGGGAAGGCGTGGCACCCCTTCCCTTCCTCTGCCAGGGTTCACACCTGTTCCCACACCTGTCCTAGTGCAGCCTGGGAGCCACCCTGTTGAGGCCTTGGCTCCAGCTCCCTGCCTGGCTACCATAAAGACCCGGAGGCGCGCCTCAGGCTGGAGTCCCTGCTTAGCACTGGGACAGGCTCAGGTGCCAGGTCCCCTCAGGCAGCCCCAGCGCCCCTCCCCCAGGTGCACAGGGGTTGGTTCCCCATGGTGGCAGAGCACAAACCAGGGATCCCAGAGCCATTATGAGCCAGTTGCCCGCCTTAGCAGCCAAACTGGCACAAAACACTGGCAGGTGGCTCCAGGATTTAAGCACATTCGGTAATAATATTTATGCCTCTGCCTTATAAAGCAACACCGGCTCCATGAAGATGCCTTGAAAAACACAGGTAAAGATGATTAACATCACCCGTTATTCCACTGAAATTATAGGGTGTTTCCTGCTTCGATCTGCAATTTTAGGAGGAAATTTTTCCACGTAGAATCTGGATACCGGAGAATAAAGGGGTGCTAGAGGAGCCTCTGTCATCCTAGTTAGAGTACAGTGGCATCATAGCTGACGGCAACCTCAAACTCCGGGGCTCAAGCCATTGTACTGACTCAGCCAATCAAGTGACTGGCACTACAGGGACCCGCCACCATGCCCAGCTTTCTATTTTTTGTAGAGACAGGGTTTCGCTATGTTGCTGAGACTGCTCTCAAACTCCTGGCTTCAAGAGATCCTCCTGCCCTGGCTGCCTGGAGTGCTAGAATTTACAGGTATGAGCCACAGCGCCAGCCTATATTGATATTTTTAAATCTATTTGTCTATCTAGCATCTCTGTATCTATCATCTATTTTATTTATAGAGATTATTGCCAGAAGGGAAAACAGGATGGCTTGTTCATAGTTGCCCAGGCAGGGCTCTGGGGGGACGGGGCTGGCTTTCCGGGCCTTATCTCCCCGAGACTGTCCAGTTAGCTTAGCTTCCTTTCAGCTTCCTTTGCCGGTTACTTATTTGGAACTTTCTTGAAACAGGAAGGCCAACAGAGGGACTGCAACCAACTCCTGCTTCAGGAAGTGCCAGAGTGGCTCAGGTACCACTCAAGCCAGGCAAATTTGAGCTGGGTTGTTAAGTGACAATGGCAGATATGAGGGTGGTGAAATTCAGGCAGACAGGAGTGTCCGTCTTCAAGAGGCTCCTGGTTTAAGGCTGGAGCTACCTCTGGACAGGAGGTGGCCTTGGACACTCACTTCCTATGAGGCACTGTCCTCCGATTTCAGAACTGATGGGGTCCGGAGATGGCTCTTTCTTCTTATCTCCAAAGGGCACCGAGGGGTCCCAGCCCCCCAGCCTCAGGGAACACGGCACACGTGAGGATGAAGGGCTCTCACGCGGGAGCTGGAGACACACACCTGGATGGAAGAGTGACAACAGGACGTGACTATGTGGATTTCCCTTGTCGGCCCTCCTCCAGGCTGGTTAAGGCCCGCGAAGGTGGAGAAGTCAAGTAAGAGTGAGGAAAGAGTGAAACTAGGCCAGTTTTGGGCCAGGTGGCATGTCATAGGCAGGGTAACGAGTTAGTGCTTTCGCGGCCAGGGAGGCAGCTTCCACTGGGCCAGGCAGTGTCCAGGAAGGGCTGCTGGGGCTGGCACGCCGACTCCAGAACCTTGGAGGCGCTGGTCCTCTTCTTGGGGTTGCAGCTCTGTGCGCCGTAACAGGTAACGACCACCTATTGCTCCTGTCGGCACCATCTTTGGTTCGCAGCTTGCGCTCTTGGCGGTCTTTTGCGCTTATGGCTCTGGAAAGTGGCGAAGGCTCCTGTGGGTCAGCCAGGCGGGGCACCGGGCCGTGAAAGGTAGAGTCTCTTCCCACAGGCACGCGAATGCCTCAGGGGGTCCATCAGGGAGACCCTGGCTTTGCCCACAGCCTTGTTCCAAGAGAATCTTGATCAGCGGTTGGTGAACCAGAGAGCGTTTAGTGTGGAAGCAGGGTACTCAATTTGGATCCCATAACGCTGTCCGCTGGCTGAATCCAGGGGCAACAGGTTGCCATCCTGGCCTGGGTGGCATTACCCAATCAGTTAAGCAAGCCAAGTGGCCGAGGCATTGACAGACCTTGCTAGCCAG